GTATGTTGAGTTCGGTGTGGTTCGGTCCGTGTTGCTGTTGGCCGTGCGGAGCTTGCTCGCATATATTGTCGTTCGCGTACTTTGTCTGTAGGTTCGGTTTTACTTGTGTGGATTGGATGTACCCGATCTCCCGGACATCGGGACACCATTGCGCGGTTCTACGTTGTTCGAACAACGACCGGAAGCGTCAAATAGCATGTAACCAGCCCTGCAGCGTGCACGGAAGCCTGCAACGCGAGTGCGGGTGTAATGTTTTTAAGCTTCATCGCTTTCCGCCCGGCGAGGAACTCCGGCGTCAGTGGGTCGCCTCGGTAAATCGGGAAGACTTTTGCCCGTCGCCAAACTCCCGAGTGTGCTCGCAGCATTTCACGAATGGGGTGCGCACGGAGAACTCCGTCCCGACTGTCAACATGGGATACTCTCGCGAGGTGCGTACATTTTTCTTCGTGGGCATGAGACCGCAATCGGACGGAAAGTTGTGGCCGAGCTTTCGGTTGCACGTGAAAAGATCCCCGGGTGGTCCAAATTGACCCTCGGTCTTCCTTTGCGGCGTGCCAGATGACCGCGGTTGGTTTGGCTCGTAAAACCCCCAAATTTTACTTACTTGGGCGTGGGAGTAGCGCTGCCTTGCACGTGACGTCACGCTAGGGAAGGATCAATGTTTAGCGCAGTTGTGGCACTCCGCGAAGGGGGATAGCCCCCCTCACCGCTGCAGTGGAGTAAAGGAACGTTTATTGATTTCATACTGTACTGTGACAGTTACAAAATGGTAGGGCCGGATGGTGAAAGTTGGCTTAGAAAGGTAAGGTTGGTTGGTTGTGTGGAGGGGGAGAGGCTTAGATTTCTCTCCCGAGCTTTGTCCTTTTCAGGTAGGCGAGTACAAAGGCCAGGATCTTGCATTTATGGTTGATGTTACCCGTTGGATGCAACCATATCCTTGGAGTTGCTTCGGTCGGTCTGTCTTGCACAGTGATTGATGCAAGGGCGTCTTCCCGCTGGTTCATGAAGCAGCAGCACACCCGCATGAGACGAGTCAAGTCAGTTACCGTCTGCTCCTTGCAGTATGGGCATGCTGCCCATGTAGGAATTGGGATGTTTATGTAAACTTGCGGCATCTGTCTATTTCCTCTTGTAGGCCGGTGTGGCGGCACTTTCTGTCCCTGGTTTCCGTAGGAGCACCATCTGCTACCTTCCGAGGCCTCTGGAAGTAGGGTTTTGATCTTCCTTGTGTCGTTTCAATTTTCGTTCCTTCAGATGGACCTTGACTTCTGTTGGGCGTCCAACGGGGTCTTGCGGTGCGGGGGTCCGAATCGCCGGCCCATCGATGCAGGGACCGAGACCCTTGCTATAACATTAGCAACGCGAAGGTGGAGACAGTTGTACGCTCTCGCATCACCGTTGGCAATGGACCCTTCTCAAAAGTCTGTGTCATCGCCTGTCCGCCATTGCTGGATCACATACTCTGAGCACGTATTGGACTGGAGGGCTGTGTCGGTGTTCGGCGTGAGCTCGGCTCGTATTGAAGACGGGTGCTGCGTCTGCATTAGGCGAGGACTCTGATCCTGTCACGCTCTTGGTGCCCAAGAAATGGCAACCATCAATGTCGCTTAGACTTTTGAAAAAAATCTATTGTAGGGCTGATTTCGTGGTGCATCTGGCAGCCCTTATTGTTTCTTGTGAGTTCGTGAAGATCGTTACTGTTGAATCTGGTGTTGTGTCTTCCACTATGTATTTTAATGCTGCGTGGATGGCCTTCACTTCTGCTGTTCTGCACCATTTGATGCAAGTTGCTTTATGTCCTTTGTTTACGATCTGCCATGCAACCATGGATGTTCTTCTCGTGGACAATGTAACGGACGACGGAGTTTGCATTCTCTCGCATCGTTTCGACTTCTTGCTTGTGTCTCTTCACATACTTTTTCTTCGGCCCTTACGTTGCAGTCCAGTGTTTTTTGGGAGCGGCGTACGTTGGATCATAACGACTTCTTCCCACGGTGAGATCTTCTCCCCATTGCCGTCATCTTGCACAACCACGTCGTTTATGGCGAGACACGCCACCCCCCAGCACAGAAGCAGCCCTGAAACGGCAGTTGCTACCACTTCGGTGTTCTGGAAAGTTCTTCGACACGCCTACAAAGAAAAAGCTCAGCCCTGGCCGACCATAGATCGGTCCTTTCCCTTCCCCTGACATAACCAGACCACGCAAGATTCGTTCTCCGTCCGAGGAGCGGGAACAGCGTGCGCATTGTGCTGAGCAGAGTCGACGGAGGGCCGCAACGGCGCGACAACAGCAAAAGGCGCAGGACCCCGAATACCACGCACGAGAGGCAGCGCGTAAGCGCAGAAGGCGTCAAGACCCCCGCGTTCATGAGGAAGAGGCAAAGAGAAAGCGTCAACGACGGGCCGCAGACGACAATCTGCGGGAGCTTGTGGCGGACGTAAAGCAGCAGAGGCGGCAGGATCCAGACGTTGTGCCCTCCGCTGCGGCGACCACCACATTAGAAGCACGTCTGAGTGTCATTTTCTCGCCAAAGAGCACCTTTCATAAAATCACTGTGCCAGACCATATCTACAACTGTACTGCTAAAAGAGGAGCTTGTAAAGCAAATACCCTAAAGCACGTCAGCTAACAGTATATATTCTAAAGAACATCTTGCTACAATGCAAGAGCTGCCGCCGTTTGCTGTTGATCGCAGTCTACTTTGAATGGTCGTTTGCAATTTTTTATTTTATTTGTTTATTTTTTTATTTTTTTTTTCAGGGAGACACTGCCCCAGATCAGCTCCAGATAGCCCCGGGGAGGATTAGCAAGAAAAGGAAGAAGAATGCCAATGGTATGGACCCTCTTCTCTAACCGGCTTCTTCATAGTCCGAGGTTGTTGCGAGAAAAGTTTCCCGTTCTGACTTGTCTGACGCGTGCTGAAGTCGAGCCTTTTAAGGATTCACGTGGCATCCTCGTGTGTAGTGCACGGAAGGTTATGCGCCGAGAAACGGGGAGAGGAGGAGAGGAGAGCATGTGGCGACGTCGGAATGCCGAGCTCTGGTCGCAACGATTGGTGGGTAGATTTGAAGCTAGCTTGCCTTCTTCTCCACTGCACGCGTCGGAGCGCCAGCGTCTAGCATTTATCTCTCGCATTCGACAAGGGCAGTGGAGGCAAGAGCAACTAGCTTTAGCTGTACCCACTAATCAATAAAAGCAGAGTTCTGCATTCTGATGTCCTTGCGCGCTCTCGTCTGCTCCTCTCTCTGTTTCTTGGCGCTCAAGTCTGATCACGCTGACATCTGACTACGGAACGGCAGCTTAACGTTGTGGGAGTACCTCCTGTTCTGACTGAACTAAACCTGAGAAATTTGTCCTCCGTCCATGTGTCCCTCCGCTCGTGCCGTCGCGCTTTGAAGGCGTAGCGACGCCATTTGTGTGGCACGGATTCTGCGTCGTCGGCATTGGGACCGCTCGGCGCTCCTTTCAAATACATCCAAAAGAAGGGTGGGAATGGGATGCATAAACATCTAGCAAGTGCTTCGCAGTCTACCAAAGCTAAGGCCAAATTTATAATAATAATAATAAATCTTCATTTTGTTTCATCACTGAAACGGGGGACTAAGACAAAAATCTGCTGCAGCAGGTTCCTAAGCGATTTCAAAAATGGACAAAATAGCTGCTTTGAGAGAAAGAATGGTGTTTTAAATGTACAGACCACAGATCAAACAAAAACAAGAGAAAACATGAAATTAATACATTCATTGTGATATACAATGGTACAGTGATCTGTATGCTTTAGCCATACTTAAGAAAACTACCCTAAGATAATGCTCGTACCTCTGCCAGCGTTATTGCATGAATATCAACACCTTTTAAAAATAATTCATTTAATAAAGTAGTTGGTAATTTAGCATGTGGTTAAAAAATAATATATGTGGTGGTGAAACAAACCATTTTTCTTTAGGGCAGAGGTGATATGAGGAAGTGAAAAGGACTAGGTTACATAATTCCTCAAAAACTTTATTTTTGAACTGCATAGACTTCTTGTACGCCACAAGATGTCGGGACCTGTAAATATTTGAAATTGGTTTTATATTAAACAATGAGAACAAGTGTTCAGTATGATCATAGTATGAAACATTGGCAATAGCACGCACAGCTTTCTTTTGTAAAATATGTAATTTATTTATATTTGTTTTTGTTGTATTTCCCCAAACTAGATGACAATAATTAAGTTGGGAATATACCAAAGCATTGTAATGATTGAAGAACAAAGCGAGCAAATTTGCGGTTACTTGGAGACAAAGATTTATAATTGCATTCAATCTGTATATTTGTTTGTTTTTCTTGACTGGAGATCTTTCTTTATTTGTTTGACTCTTTAATCGTGTTTGATTCGTTCGTAAAATAATTAGAAGCTCCCCTCCGCACACGTGATGCGCATGAGATGGTCACTTCAGTTGTAGGCAGCTTTCGCGGTAGTGGCATTGAAGTGCCGGCTTTTCCGATTCAATTTTTTAATTGCTTCTCAGAATTTAATTGAGGGAACGAGAGCTCACATTCGACGGAGAATCTCTGTAAAGTACCACAGATTCGGATTCTGAAATCGCCGGAATGTCGTAGAAGCAGCTGCGGCAAAGTGAAACCGTACAAAAGCAAGGTGACAACTTTCACCTTCAATATTTTCATTCAATGCTTCTAAGCTTGAACAACTTTCAAGCACTGTACGTGCTTCCGCCAAATATTTGAAAATAGAGCCCTTGCATTGACCCCGTTATTGGACTATTCCTTTGGAAACAAAACCCAACCAGGAACATCTTTTGACCAAAAAAATGGTGTTGTCAAAACCCTAATTCATTTTTTTTTGGCATAATGTGAAGTCAATGCATTATCAAACTAACTTTTTTTTAGAAGTTTGTAATCATATAGTTATATCTTGTTGGCATTGGCACAATATTGTTTGGTCTCGTTAATTAAAAGCTTTTTTTTTTTTTTTCGTAATTTACGAAATTTTGACATGGAGGCTTCTGAAAAGAACTTAAGAAATTACTGTTTTGTGGGCCGTCTGACAGACCACGCGCGTGCTGGTATTAGCAGCAACTTGTTTACTATTTCCTTATATGTATTTTTTTTTTTTTTCATGCATCATTCATTATCATTTTGAATTTTTTGTCTCAGATATGCAGGATGACTCTGAGGTCCAAGAAAGCGAAAGCATACTGCCGGACGATGGACCGGGTGAGTTTTCACTTTTGTGTCTTTGGCCCACGTGGCCGATTGTTTAAGAGGTTGGCGTTATTGGTTATTGAAGATTCTGTGCCTTGTACTCTAAAAGACTTTATCACTTATCTTCGTGCAGAGCTTCAAGCTTCTGAAAATACCTGTAAATCTATTAGCATGTTAGTGGCAATAGGATCATTTCATTAATAATGGAGGCAGTTCAGTTTATTATTCCTGAAAGATGCTTCAGATGAAGTGCATTACTTGCATGGGGTACCTAGGAGATCTAACCTTTCGATTAATAAAAAACATTCTTGAGGTGTGGTATGCAAGGGATGGCTGAATTTTATTGATAAGGGTGCAGACAGTGTTAGGAAGTACTTTAAAAGTATGTTGTACTGAAAGCAGTATGTGGAAACCAAATTTCGGAGCTCATCTCTCTGCTTCAATCTGAAGCAGACTGAAGAAGGACTTCACAAACACCAATATTCCGTTGAAAAAAAAGCTAGAAAACAGTTCGAACTGAATTAAATGCTTACAAAAAGCCACCTGTCACAGGTTCGGATGTTGAAGGTCCCATTTAAACAAACAAATTTGGGATTTGACTTGGACCGCTGTCCAGGTGTTAGGACCACACCTTGGCGATAGACTTCCTGAGAGGCGGGAGGAATTGAGAGCAAAGCATGCCGACATTACAAACAGTATTTTATATAAAATAATTCAAAAGTAAGGGAAAGGCGCACTGGACGTGCACACAGTCGAAAAAAGGAAAGAAAAAAAATATCAAAAGTCAAATCAAGGTTGTCATACAGTTTTGGAGGGGGAAAGCCGAGTCAGGGTCCCAAGATGCCGGTGGGGGTCCGGTTCGTTGCGCCGCCAGTCGGGGTCGAGAATTCGTGGTGGCTTGAGTGTTGTTATGATGCACAGCACTCACTCACAAGCACTCGCACCCCTCTCCGTCGAATACTTTCTCGGTGGTCGAACAACCATACCGCCGCGGACCTGCTCAGCGCCGACCATCCACACTGTCGCAACCTTGCTGCGACAGTGTGGATTGCTGCACAATTATACTGAGCAGCAGAACAATGCTCATTTTGTGCATGCTTTTATGGCAAAGCTAAGTTTGACGACGGATAGAGGCAGCAGACAACCAAAATCGCTTCTATATTTCCTCCCATTTTCTCCCTTGCTTTGTTACCGCACCGCTTCCTTTTCTTTTGATGGACTAGTGAATCTGATGTGGTAGTGTTTTAAATCTTCCGCTTGAACTGTCAACGAAATGAAGTGCAGTGTAATTATTATTACTTTTGTTGTAGTGATTAATGTCAATTTTACCGTATGTTGCAGAAATCAACATAATAGGCTCGTTAATTAAATAACTGGCTCTTTTTTTTTGCTTTTTTTAATGTTTTTTACGTAAAAGAAAAATGTTTTCCTAAAACTTTTACCGTAAAGACCCGCATACACCGTATTTACTCGCACAATGAACGCACCCCCCCACAAACAATGGGCATCAATATTTGGGCTTTTTGTTATCTCGTTGCATAATGAGGGCACCTCCAATTTGTGGCTCCGCGAGTCTCGAACTGCGTCCAAATCGGCTAGCCACCAAGCACATCAAGTCAATTTTTTTTCCGCCAAGTGGCCAGGCCACGTCAAGCCAAGCCAAGCAATACACATTCTCATGGCTGCAAGTGCATAGTTTCAGAAGTGATCAACAGTGAAACTGTTGATCAATCAACAGCGGCAACCGAGCAGCGTGCACGCCTAGCGAAACTGGGGCCGAGGAATCGCCCAGCCCCGGAGATGTTTCGCACATGGGATGCATTGGTGTCAACAAACTCGTGATCGTCTGTGGTCTGGTTCAGACAGGGAAATAGTGAAGGTGGTGAGGCCTAAGAACGGTTGCGTCACTCTCCGTGCTGAGTGAGCTTCGTGGGGCGCTTTCCTTAGGCAAAAGGCATGCCAAAAGCGCCCCAAAAAATGTTTGCAATTTATAGAGCATGGTTACCGGGATGCGCCCACGACCAGTCGTGGGTGCGTCTCTGTCATTGGAGAGGTGCCACAGCACCCTGCCGTGTCATATTGGCACCTAAAATGACATTTGCGCAAAGTGTGTAAATGCAAAAAGTTTACCCCGCGTAATGAACACACCTCCCCCAAATATCTGTAAATTTTCGGGAAAAAAAGTGTGTTAATTATGCAAGTAAATGTAGTAATACAAAGTTTTATTCCCCGACTTTAGCATGTGAAATTTGCGCTCGTATTATATGCGGATCCGAACAATTCTAAGCTTTTTTGGGTACATACGAACATGGTTTCGGTTTCAACCACCACCATCGTCATCAGCAGCAGTTAGTGGCACGGTAGCGCCGCCACCAGACTCCGCTTTTTGCGGTCCGTTTGAACTAATGGCGAATTTCACTGGTCATTTTGGAGCGCGCCGGGATCGACTTTTCTGGAGCGAGCTTATTCCACGGGGCGATCGGGATCGAGACGGACGTGTTCCACTGGTCGTTTAAGATTAGCTCCCGCTCCAGATCTCAATCTGGATACGAGAAAAGTCGCTCCGACGATTTCGGCGGATTCAACCGGAAGCCAGCCGGGCCAGCCTTCGATGCACATGCGTGACTTCCTTTCTCGCGGGGCATCTCGCCTGATCTCGCCCATCTCGCCTCAGAAGAATTCATAATGGCCGCTTGCTTACCCCTTGGCTCGACAACTGGTTCGTTTTCCAAAAAGGAGAAGGTTTTGCCGCACTACGGGCATTCTGGCTATCTTTGCTAGAAGCTCGTGAGCCATTCCTGCCGCTCGTGCGTCGAACACGTGTTAGCACCGCGATTGCGAAAACATCTTCGAAACGACCGCTGCAGAAAGGGAAGTCCTGGGGCAGTTGAATGACGGGAAGGCATCCGCCAATCTTGGAGCAGGGGTCATGTTCCACTGGGGATCCGTAGGCGGCGCGACCCCGTTCGGATTGTGTGCTCCATTCCGGATCTGGTCAACTGATCCCGGCGCAATCCAAAACCCCAGTGGAATTCGCCACAAGTAGTTAGGCCCTTTTGACTCAAACAGAACGGTAGTTAGCGTCTTGACGTTTTAGCTACTTTTGGTTACCGTTTTAGCTATTTTTCTGCTTTATGAGTTGGCAACACTGCTACTACGCAGTCGCCAGTGTCTTTTCGTTCTTTTGTCTTCACCTCTGTGTCCCGCTGTCCTGCACTACACCCCGTGATCCCGCTGCGTAATGGCGTTATCAAGAAAGCAATACTCGGCTGCATTTAAGAGAAGTTATTTTAGTGGCCGAGAGTATCGGCAACAGTGCAGCGGGACGGGAGTTTACGGGGAACGAAGGCAGCATGGGGGAAACAAAAGGAAGCCCCTTTCGCCTGCAAGGGCACAAGAAGACGTTTTCGAGGGCCCAAAGAGGGAAAGTTTGCCGACATTGAAGGAGACCTAGCCCAGTTCGTCAAGGAGCAACAAGCGTTTCACCTCGCCGGAAGCATCGAGCTGCTGCAGGCAAAGCTAGGGAACTCGCAAGAGAAAAAGGCATACCACGGGCAGACCTCAAGACGAGCAAGCGTTGGGTCTCCCGCTTCGTGCGCCACGCCGGGTTTTCGCTACGTTGGCGAACGTCGGTGTCTCAAAAGCTGCCCGAAAGTTATGAAGAGCTTGCTTGTTTCGTTTCAGTGCCACATTCTGGGACTACGAAAGTCTGTCAACATTCAGTTGTGACAAATTAGCATTGCCGACCAAACGCCAGTGTACCTATACTCCGTTTCATACATAGCGTGCAACGCTGGGAAAGGTACTGAAGTAGTGCGTATGAAAAGACACAAAAACATATGTTACTCCGCGCGTTTCGTGGACAAGCGGTATAAGGCGCTGCTCTGGCGATACCGACGTCTCGGTGGCAGTAGTATGAATCCACTTAAAGTGCAAAGTTTTTATTATTTTTTTATACATATTTTTTATACAAGATTGTGCGCATTGTTGACGTGCATATTTCAATTCTTCTTTTATTCTTATTTTTCATTTATAAGGGGGTAGACTAGGGGTTGGTGTTCCGCTTGAACCCCGCGCCGGCCTCGTCAAAACGGAAGAACGGCCGGAATCCAGGGCGTCTCTACTTCAGGCCCTTTATTTACATGGTCGCGTGAAAATCGGAGAGTACCTTGGGTATACCTTGGGAGTGCGGTGGACGGTCCTTTATATAATGAATACTGGGATTAGGGACAGCACTGACGACAGTGAATAGGTCCGAAGGGGGCACAGCCAAAAGAAGTGTTTTCATGAAAGTGGTGTTCCTGGGTCGCATTACTCACGGATAAAACTTTTTTTTTTATTTTGAGTGTTAAATTGTTTTTTGTTTTTTGTATCTGGGTTCACATTATATGCGGGTTTTTACGGTATATTTTTAAAGATTTTTTATTATTACGTGTCTGAAGCTTCGATGTAATGCGGTATCAGATCAGCAAGAGCAGTGCCACAACGGGAAGTACCATATTTACTCGCCTAATGAACGCACTCACATAATGAACACACCCCCCATAAAGTCTCTAATTGCGTCCAACTCACCAAGCTAATTTTCGTTTACCGCCAAGAGGTCAGGCTAAGTCAAACAGAGCCAAGCCGCTCTCGTAATGGCTGCAAGTGCGTAGCTGCGGAAGTGATCAGTCGTGAAACCATAGCGTGAAACCGAGCAGCGCGCGCACTTGACGAAGCTTGTGTCGAGGGATTTCCGAGCCCCGGACATTCTTCGCCTATCTGATGCATTGATTTCAATTAACACGCCATCCTCCGTGGTCCGCTTTCGGTTGCCGTTGCGTACGACAGATGGCGCTTTTACAGCGGAGCTGTTAAGGGCTAGTTTCCCCATGATCGCGTCCCCCGCAAAGAAATGTCGACACAAAACTCTGGTTGCCGTCGCTCATAGATGGGGGTAGCCGTCCAGAGTGTTGTGTTTGCCGGTTGTCCGCTTGCCGCCGTCGCAACCTTTCCAGCCTTTCCACTCTGGTTTGCCGACTTGCGGCTGGCCATTACTTCATTCCCACCATAGTACAGCTTCGCTGGTCTTGCATCTTCACCAGAACAGAAAGACTAAAAGATTTTTTTTTTCTTTTCTTGAGGGGCCGCCTGTTGCTTTATTGCGCCGGTGGCGAGCACATGCTTGCCTTGCGTGGCTGGCAGACCGCCGGGCCAACATAAACGCTGGAAGATATGCAACAAATAAACAATTGTAAAAAATTAAAAAATAAATAAATAAATGGTTAAAAGCAAGGGGAGAAGGGCACGCATGCGAGAGTGCCCGTGCCTGCTGTCGGAAAGGTAGCCTGCGCCCTTCCCCCAACACTGCTGATGTTGCGCAACTCCTAAGCCCCCCCCCCCCCCCCCCCCAAAAAAAAAAAATAAAAAAAAAGTCTTTGGCAAGTTTAGTGCGTCGACAACAATGGACGTGCCATCGCACTTTGAACTCCTTATCTTTGTTTGCCTTTTTTCTTTAGCCGTCATTGCTCTGCCCGGTTTTTACAGCGAAGCTGTTACGTGCTATAAGATCTGGGTAAAAAATGTGTCCATGGATGTTAACAAAAAAGCTCCCGTTTAAACGGCGCTCCTTCGTTCTGATTGGTCGTAGCAAGTATAAATTAAAGGAGGGGGCGACCCGCGTGAGTCAGCCTTCCTTGGCATTATTAGATAGTGAGGCCCTGATCTCTTGTTATCATCTACGGTCACCGACTTATCTCAGCTAAGAGTGCGCTGTGACGAGGCTGAGGGCAGAACGCGCCGATCTAGCCTTCTTTTCTCTCGCTTCCGCGACGCTGATAAGGAGACTTGGGCTCAGTCGGAAAAACTGTCCTCGAGGTGTGCCTCGAAAAATTGGGGTTAAAACTTACAACGTCGTGTATTGAAAGAGCTCGTGGCCTTTATGTATGTATGTGGCTTTATTCAATCAATATAGCCATTCGCTCTAACGTCACTGTAAAACCTGCTACCAACCAATGGCCGTGTTCCTTCGTCTCTTGACGTAGCCATTTCCTAGCGACGTTATCAGTTGCTTCCTTTGGGCTCTCCATGGGCAGGCCGCGTGTTGTTCGCTCTGAAGAGGAAGAGCGCGCCTACAAGGATCGTCGGCGCGCTCAACAGCGCCATTGTGTGCGAAAGCGTCGAGAAGCCGAACGCGCAGCGGCCCGACGCGGTGCAGACAATGGTGTGGGTCCATCGGCTTCGATTGATCCTCCACTCACTGACGAAGAGCGTGCCCGTCTAGAGCGTCAGCGGCAACAGAAGCGGGAGTGTGAACGTCGTCGCCGGGCAAGAAGGACCGACGAAGATCGGGCCGCCGATGCCAAGCGCAAACGCATTGCCCGTCGTTGTCGTAGAGATAATAACAGCTTCGCGGGTCCTCCCTCTTCACGTAAAGTGGATAGGCTCCACAATGTTTTTTTTTTCCTCTTTTCTTTTTGCTGCTAGGATTTATGAGCCTCCTTTTCCTTTGTTTGACTTTTTTCCTTTGCCATTATAGACCCTTTCCGAAATTCAGTGCCATCTGGTGGTTTGTAAAGCAGTTTAGGTTTTGCCATATCAATGGCAGAAATGAACTTGTATCGGCACCGTCACTTTCGCAAGTCAACGGCACGCGAGGAATTGTTCATTGTGAGTTCTTTCTCGATCACTTTCATTTCAATGGTGACCAAGAACCTGCATTCAGAACAAAGCTGCTACCCACTCAGATGCCTCGAGAAATTTCCGTACACCAAAGTGCTTTAAAGCCGATTGTGTGCCGCCCACAGATTGACTGAATCTAGTTATTAGAAATAAACGCTTACGTAGCTCTTGTGTTCCATTCCTACTTCGCGTTGTGCTGACCCCCCGAATGTACAGGCCTCGCATCATCCGCTTAGAAGCATCTTCAACGTCTTCCTTTATCAGTCCCTAGAAGGCCGCCATTGGTATGGCACAGATGCCATTCAACAGATGATGATAGTGATCAAAGTGGCCAGACTGAATTTCGGAAAGGGTCTATTGCTTTGACCTTTTTTTTTTCGTTTCTTTATTTGCTGCTTGAAATTATGAGCTTTTTTGTTGCTTGCTTAACTTTTATGGATCAACATTTTTTTTTTTTTTTTTATGATTCTTGCCTTTCCGTTTTTCTTTCATTTTTTTTTAAATTATTTTTGTGTTTTGCTTATGCTTAGGACTCTGTGTTTTCGGAGTTTAGTCTTCGTGAAATTCGGAGGGTGTTTTTCGGAGTTTATTTTTCGCTGGGGATTCGGGGTTTATTGGGTTTTATTTTTGTTATATTCTCAATTCTTTGAAATCTGTTTATTTTACTGCGTAAAATTTAAAAAAAAAAAAAAGTAAAATAAAAAAAATGAAAGTAAGGTTCGGGTACCGTCACCCGTTGTCCCAAATGAACCTCAACATTCTAAAAGGCAAACCCCTTTTGTCAGTAGTTCTAGATTTCAAAGGAAACAAACTGAAGTGGAATCTCCTCGGGGCCACTGACCTTGTGGTCTTCTAAAGTTTAATTCTAAAACTCTGTTTGTTTGTTTTTTTTTGCTGTTTATTTTGTTGCTGTGACCTCGAAATTCAGTTTTTCTGATAAATCCGCATTGACGGAAAATTTACCGGCGAGTGTTTTTGGGGTTTATCCGAAAACACGGAACCTTACTTATGCTGTGTGGAGGTCCCGGCCAGGTGAGCGTGTAAGGCACAATCCAAACCAACGCGTCCTTGCGCGCGCGTACGACGTGCGCTTCCCGGAAATTGCGTATTTCGTGACGGTTTTGCTGTTTCCGGTGCGCTTTCCGAGTCGCAACCATGCGCATTGGTTAGGACGGTCTGGTGCGGCTTCGGGCAAGCGGAGAGCATCTGCGCTGGGCATCGAAGAAATGCGGAGCTGGAATTAGTGCCCTCCACCGATTGGCTGGGTGAGGAGCACCCTATTACATCACAGCGCCCTTCCGTGCGCCTTCAGAAAAAGTTGCAATAATCCAACTTTCTTACACGCGTCCCGAAGAAGCAAGGAATCAGCGCGACGTCATGAAATAAGCAATTCCTGGGATACGCACGGCCTATGCACGCACAAAAGCGCATTGGGTTGGATCGTGCCTGAGTTCGGCGGTGTTTCGGTCTCCGCAAACTACGCTCTACCGTATGTAGCAGCTCTTGGATTCTCTATTTGGTGAGCCCCCGTTTGTTGCGGCCTTCGGTATTAGCAGACACGCCAGGAAATTTCAACTTGAGCTTAATTGAACATATTTTTGTATATCAAATTATTGATGTATCGAACTATTCTACTATCCCCTTTGAATTTGATATATCCGGGTTTGACTGCAAGTTGATTCTGTTAAACAGTTTGTTAGCGAGAGTAAAACTACCACAGTCGAACCTCGTTCGAAGTCAGTCGGACGGCGAAAAATGTGCAAATTAAGCGGATTTGCGAATTATCCAAAAACAAAAGAAAACAACAAAATATTGTGCTCGAAGCCTCAAGTTTTGAAGGAAACATTTTGTTCAAAATAAGTAGTCGAAACGACAGAACATCAGCCAAAGTAGTTGGCGATATGGGACTGCTGCGTTCTGTAATTAGCGGCTCCGACCGTCATTTTTTTTAAGAAGGCTAACTAGGTGCAGCATCACAGAATCGCCGTCGTTACATTCCACAAAGCTACAGACGACATTCAGCGACTGTACAACGTTCCCTAGGCAGCTCATCGTCGTTCTTTAATCTGTGCTGTCACACTCGGCGATTTTGTTCTCAAGGTTCGCGTAGCAGGTTTACCCGTTTTTTTTATGTTTAAGTAGTCTGTGAACATCATGCCGACTGACTCACCGTCAGTGCCCTTAAAGGGACACTAACAGGGTATTTATGCTCGCCAAGGCTTTTATTTGTACACGACATATAAGAGCCCAACTACCCAGAAAACAGTTCGCGGCTCGAAATTCGTGTTCTTGCCGCCCGAAAACGACCTATCGAGAACTGGCCGGTTCGAGTCACGCTCACTCTCTTCTCCGTGCGGAGCGCTTAAATTATCCGGTCATATTTTCGTGGGAAGTCACGGGAGCGTGGAAATTCTGCGAATTTTTGGGGTTCCGAATAAACAGTGATAGAATTATCGAGATTTTACTGTAGTATGTGGCCACTTGACGTTATTTAATATTCGCCACCGTTTCCAAAAATAACTGGCACGCCCTTAATTGCCGTTGGGGAAATGTGTACCAGTTGGAAACTATGGGGATATAGCGGCATCACGAAAGACTGTGTTCAAAAGTCACTTTGAAAGTTCATTGTATTTATGGTAGTTTACTTCAAGTATGTTGAGCTCTGTGTACTTGCTACCTTACTTAAAGTGTGCGCCAATTTACTTTGTACTTCAATTAAAAATTACTTTTTAGATGTCCTCTACCCAACACTGGAAGCAGAGCACTTTTGTGCTCAGAACTGGCCCTTAGTAGCATCGTAATTTCCAGCGGGTCTCTGTTCACAAAGCCTCTTCCTATCTCTTTTTGCAGGTTGGGGCGGATCCAGTGATGACAGTGCGACGCCAGTCAACACTATCAAGACAGGTTCGTTCCTGCGTGAGCAGTTTTCACACTATGTAGCAGCTCATGTCGGGTGAAAACGTGGCATGAAAAGGGCTGCCAACATTTGAGGTTCACACGATCAAACAGGCGGCATGAATCAGTTTCAAACCAAATAGGATGGACTGTTGCACCCCCATCTAGGCATCTGTTTATTGGTCTGGGGAAGGGGAGCAAAAAGTAATTTTGAGAAATTACTCATCCTTTGAGAAGCGATCCAGTGCATTGGCGGCTTTGATTTCTGCCCTTGCATGGCTCCATTTTTCTAACGAAAATTCTTACAATTGGACAACGTTATAATTTGAGAATATCTATATTAATTTGCACTGGGACAAAAAACCACTAGTCACCATTTTTAGAAGGGTGACAATTCACACAAATCATGGGTCGCAATAGCTTAAAGGGGTATGGAAACAAGAATTGAAATATTCAAATTTCGTTCGGAAGTAAGTCGAGCACGACGGATAATAACCGTAAATGATAATCGCCCGTTTTTATTTTGAACGACTGGCTATATTTTTGGTTCCAATTGGTGCACTCAAGCAAGCGCTCGAAGAGAAGCGAACAGAGAGCACGATGCGTCATGGAATATCTGGCGCAAACAAAAACAGAAAAGAAAGATTCCCCGCATTCGTAACGTAGCAAGGCTGGAATGGTTATGAGCTTTGCCATTGGTGGCATTGGCAGCGTTGTGGTGGTGTCAATAGCGTCGACGCGTTACAACCGAGCCGTTCGAAGTACCCGTAGGATAACGAGTGTGTAGCTGGCCCAAGGACCACATAGCTTCCACAGCACTGTCAGCTTAGGGGTGAACAGGGCGGGAAAAGCAACTTTTGTCCAAATTTTGAGAGACGGGCTAATCTTCTAGGGGGAAAAGGGCTGTGTCCGGGTACACAATTGAGGGTTTGGTACAATGCGCGGTTTGTGAGTTGAGGAAAGCTATGAAGGAAAATGTTGAATTCCAAAGAGCGGCGCTGCTCCGATGGAACTTGCTACGTCATGACTATGTAGCAAGTTCCCCAACGTTGCTAGATTACCTCCCAAATAGGCTCCACAGGCATCCACGAGGTGCACATGGAAAGATAGTTTAACTAGCTTTAAAATTAGTTTTCTTGTGCCTCTCAACGAAAGATCTTTGAGGTTATGCTGCAATATGCAGCACGTTAAAGCCTTTTAGCGTAGCGTAGTATTTTAGTGTGAGCTAGAACTTTAGTGTCCCATGGCTTCACTTTCAGAACCACCAGATTACGTTGAACAGGACGAAGAGCCTGACACCCACCTTGCATCCGTGAAGTCGGGTCTGTCATTGAATTTATGCCTGTTTTTAGGTAGTTGTGCGTTTCAAGACATCATTTTAGAGCGCAGCTCTTAGGGGCCCGTTCCCGGCTTGAGCGGCGTCGCCGTCGCCGTCGGTGTCGCCGTCGGCGTGACCAAGGTTATCCCAAGGTCACGTGACCCCTCCCAAGGTCATCTCAAGGTCACGTGACCCCACGTGACTCCCAAGGTCACGTGACCCCTCGAGGTCACGTGACCCCTCCCAAGGTCATCTCAAGGTCACGTGACCCCAAGACCCCACGTGACCCTTTGAAGGTCACGTGACCCCCAAGTCACGTGACCCCTCTGAGGTCACGTGACCCCCGAGGTCACGTGGTCTCCTCCCCAAGGTCACGTGACCCCCAAGGTCACGTGACCCCTCCCAAGGTCATCTCAAGGTCACGTGACCCCAAGGTGACCCCCACGTGACCCCCAGGTCACGTGACCCCTCTGAGGTCACGTGACCCCCCGAGGTCACGTGACCCCCCTCCCCGAAGTCACGTGACACCCCCCCCCCCCCGAGGTCACGTGACCGCCCCCCCCCGGAGCATATTAAAGAATGAGGGGAGGAGGAGGGGTCTACCCTCCCCTCAGTACCCTTCACTCCTCCTCCTCAAGAGCTGCGCTCCAATTCGGCGTTACAGGGATTTGTAAACGGCTTTCACTTTTTTATTAGAAAGAATATCGCTTCTTTTTATGCACGCAGAGTCGGAACGCTACGAGGAAGACTGGAAACCTAACAGCCGAGTGCCTGCTCTTACGAAAGGTAGGTTGCCGACAACACTTGTTTTTGTGCCTACCGTAGAATACCGCGGAAGCACCCGCTTTTTTCAAGAGCCCACTGTTAACATTTCCCAAACCTGGGAATGCTACAATTTAGACGGGGTGAGATCATAAAAGTTCTGGGTCCGATTTTGTAGCGTAAAAAAGGCAGCACGGTGATGCGCGCGGAAACGTCGAAGAAAGGCACCTTTGGGTCTCGTTATACCAAGGGGCGTCAGCCTGTGAACATTTGAACCTGCACTGCACAAGTTTTTGTGACCACGTGCATGGGCACAATGGCGATTTCACCATAGGTTGCAAACCAGAGCGAGAGCGAACAACAGTTCTACGTCAAACTCGGCAAAAATAAAACGGAGACCCTTAAAATGATTCGGCAGGCTCGGTGCAAAACGCAAATTTTGCGAAGTGTTTTAAGTGGCACTCGCGCTTCGGGAAAGGCGGAACATCGCTGGACGACGAAGAGCGATAGGACGGCCTTGTTTGACCTCTCTTCAACTTCGACGGCGTTCTGCCATTCTTGTGGAACGAGGGCCAGTCAAAACACCTCGCACACCTCGTTGCCTTCTGACACGTCTTCTAAATAATTTTGGAGGTCTCTATTTTAGATCTGTCGAGTTTGACGTGAATTTGATCTTTGCTCTCGCTTTGGTTTGCCCTACGAAGAGATTGCCATAATGCTTGTGGCATGAGGCCAAACAAACCCACGTGGCACAGTTCCAAATGTTCACAGAGCAACACCCTTCGGCAAAATGACGCAGGGAGGTTTCTGCTTTCGACTGCTGCGTGCGCATCACTGTGCTGCCCTCTCTTTTTACGCTACAATATCAGTCTTGGAACTTTTTGATCGCATCTCGTACGTCAAGCGCCCGATTTGACCGGACGAGCGTTGACGTCTAGATTAACCCAATTTTCAATGAAAGATGGGTGGTGCTTCTCCAGTTTTTTGCGGTAAGATCATGCCATCCAAATGCTGTCTCTCACATCATTTTTTCTCTTTCCTTCTACCTGCTGAATTGCCAGATTACACAGACATGACGCAGGTCACGTTCCACTTGAATGCAGGTGCATACTCTATTAACCTGGCAATTTCAACTTTCAATCGCCGGCAATGTGTTGCACGTGACCTTTTTCTGCAGAGCCGCAGGTTTCCGAAGCGACCCAACGACACGATGGCGCGGCGGTGGCCGTTAAGATTGGTATGTTGTCTTAGTGGCGTTTTACGGCTAGGTGCCATTCTAAACTTTGGAACCACATGTGTGTGCAGAGCCGCAAGACACAACGGAAGTGTGTACCGAGGAGGTTCCCGTGGGGACAGGTACGTAATCGTACGATTGTTCCTGCAGCTTAAAGCTTTTTGTAACTTACGAAGTTCAGACATGGAGACTCCCTAAGAAAGCCCACAATATAAATAAAGGGCAGCGACCGATCAAATCCTAAAACCAGGAGCCCCACGTTTCGAGGCCTACTCGCTTCTTCAAAGCTGACTATGGTGACGGCCGTCGAGGAGCAGCATTTCTCTATCTGTCGGTGACGTGGCGGAGCCTGTTGACATGGACTGTCGGCAGAGCACCGAGGCACCCATTTGTTCCTGGTGTCATTTGACCGTGCTGGAATTCTATGAAAAGTCTATGCCGGGGGTTAGTCTTTGCTTGGCGACGCCAGTGTCGTCAAAGGGAATCCGGTGTTGTTCTACATCCGACTGCACCGCGCCCGTGGTCAAACTTGCTCGTCGTTTTTTGTGTTTCCAGTGTCTTTCGTCAAAGATTTTCTTCTCGCCGACGTAAGTGTCTGGGCAGACTGCACAAGGGATCTTATAAACCGTGCCTGGAGTTTTTTCGGGTTTTTTTTCGGCGAATCATCTTTTGGACGGGGCGTGAGCCGTCTGAGCGTGGATGTCGACTCGTGGGCCTTGTTGATTCCTTCTTGGGTTAGCACGCGTGCTAGCGCTTCGCTTATTTTTTCAGCGATGGATATGCAGATGCGCGGGGTTGAGCGAGGCTGCGTATGCGGCTGCTGGTGTTGGTTATCTCAGGCTCGAAGATGGGCAACTCAATGGATAAAGGTGCTCGTGTCCTCATTCTTTTTTAGATTGACTCGGACAGTTTGCTCTTCCTTTCTTCTGTCCGTTTCAGACGAGCGTGTAGTCTTCGCCCTAGGCACCTCAACATCCATCGTCATAGTAGCCCCCGAAGAAGAGCCGAGCAGGCCTTAAAACGTAGGGTCCCTATTTTTAGGATATGGTTGGTTGTCGTCCTTTAGTGTTTTTTCAACCAGAGAAATTTCTCTCAAACGTTTACTTTGGAGCCCACACAATGACTGTTTTGTGGGCTCCGTGACATGCCAGATGCATGCCAATGTCACCAGCAGCTTGTTGACTTTTTTTTTTAAATATATACATATATTTTTTTTTTGCTTTATTGACTGTGTCTCGCGTGTTTTGTCTCAGACGTGCGGGACGGCTTTGCCACCCAGCAGTGGGGAAATGTTCCGGCGAACACTGGACTAGGTAAGTTTGCACATTTTGTGTGGACGACAGTTAACGTTACTAGTTGTAGGAGGCTCCGTGCCTTGGACACTGAAAGTCTTTCATTCGTCGAAGTGCATCAGGATTGTCAACGTGATCGTTTCATTAATAATGATGGCAAAGCTCTTCTATGGTGTTAAAGGGGTACTCCGGTGTTTTATTTCGTTGTCCCCGATTTGCCAAATGCACCAACAAACATCGCTAAAATAATAACCCAAATATTGGACCAAAATTTTTTTTTTCTATATTTTTGATTTTGTGTGTGTTTTTCAAATTGTAAGTCTACTGGCAACAATGAAGAAGTGATGTCAGTGGAAGGCAGGGATTCACTCTCGTGGTTTTAGACCTTGTTTCCAACTGATTACAAGCAGTTTCATGGTGTCAAATGAATGCTTTGGAAGCTTGTTACTGCATCCGTGTGGCAGCACCAACGAGGTAGAGGGGCTTAAAGCGATAAACTGGTATCCCGTTCACCAGACAAAAGTGACCCCCCCTTGGCATCCACCATGATGTACAATTTTGACCACTATCGTAAAATACCGAGCAAGTCCCCACTCAAAATTAAGAGATAATTGCGAAAAAGTGGGGGATGGGCAAGCGTCCATCCCCCACTTTTTTGGCGGTCATCAATTTTTTATATCTATGTACTGTGCACATTTTCTCAAATCTTACGAATTTGGGAATAGGTGCTTAGTGTGGAATGGAGGGGCGGATGGGGGCGCGGTATTCTACGGTAGACGCATGACCGTACCAAATCCTGGGGCTTTTATGCAAAACTGAGCCGAGGTTTGTGTTTCGATTGCTCTAAAACACATGATAAACTATTTTTAAATACTGGTAGTCCCAGAGATCAGTGTGTAGCTCCGATAAAAACCCAAAATACAGCACCGCGGCTGACAGCAGCTAGCAGAGCCATTGCGAAGCTGCCCGCGTTTTCGTCGTAAGAGCACAATTTGCACTTACAACAAATGAAACGTAACTTATCTCGTCGGTACTGTTATTAAAGATCAATAAGCAATTATTTGTGTGCGTTACTTTGTTAAAATCTAGACGTAAAACTATAAGGATTGCGTGTCTACTGATAAAAAATGTGTGACATGGCGGCGGCCTATGGGGGTCACTTTCAGCTGTCAGTTTATCGCTCAAAGGCCCTCTACCTCGTTAAACAGCACGAAACAAATGCTGGGCATAGTTCATTTTTAGACTGCCCGCTTGACCTGCATTCCCCCGACGTCCAGGCATTGAAAAGCGCAGGTATATTTGAATGCTCGTATTGGCAACATTTTTGCTTGCCGATTTCCCAATAAATATTCCGAATTTTGCGATACCAAATAATATACCGGAAATTGTAAAGGTGTGCTATTCCGAAAATATAGTTGGGGGTAGCTCAAACAATATCCTGAGTGCCCCTTAGTGGCTCCATAATTTCCAATGCGTAACCTTTTATTAATTGTAGCCTCTCGCCATCTTCTCTTCCAGGGTTGGACGGTTCCAGCAGCAATAGTGCAATGGCATCTGTTACTATCAAGACGGGTGGGTTGCCACATGACCAGTTTACATACAATGTGTAGTTGCTCATTTCGGGTTAAAACGGAACTTGAAAAGGACTGCCAGCATTCGAGGTTTCTACGGTGAAACGGAACGACCACAAACAATGTGCAGTGGGATGGTCTGAGACGTTTGCAGTCGTACAGCTCTTTTTTATTTATTCCAATGACATAACTTCAGGAGCCAGAATAACTTACGAAGAGATGGAAAAGTGAGTCTTGTTTTTAGAAATTACTCGCAGAAAGCCACATCATACAAAGTTATGGTACGAAAAATATTTTTTTTAAAGTTTGCCGAATCGGGGTTAGCAACAATTATGCTAGTTTCATACCTAATTTATACTCTGCTTATGAAAACGCTAGGCTTTAATAATGTAGAGCTGTCTTCCTTTGTAGAGTTTTTGAAGCAAAACCAGACAGTACTTTTAATGCTTCAGTTCTATATAATTAAGAAAAATGTGATCTATACGTGTCCACTTCATTTCTACAATAGCTAATTTGTGTGATTATTGCACCAACTATCTTTTTATACACAGCACAAAAATCAAAACCTGTAATTTAAGAGGGCTGACTGCTCCAAAGGTTGTTGTACCCCCTAGATCTTGAGAAGGGACGCTATCTTGCGACTTAACTTCTGAACCACTCGAGTAATTAGAAGAAAATTTGCAGGGGAGATTTAACATCAGAGGTAGATGTGTTGTGCAAACCTTCACCCTCTAGGGCAATTTTACATACCTGCATAAGATATTGCATCACTCTTTAATAAGGAATCTATGATATGCAAATGAAGCTATTGAGCACCATTTGTTTACCGCTTGAATATAATGTGGAAGTTGTGCGACTTCAGGCTGTCTAGTTTAACTCAAATGTAAATATTTCAGTAAGAGGTATTACTGTACGTGAACATTAAAGGTGCACACCTGTCCTATGTCAATTTCTAAAAACAGTTTCTTCTCAATGAGGACTAACTTTTAATAAAATAGATAACCCGATTCCCCAGTACATTTTCTACTAGAAACATCTTTTAAAAAAAAAAAAAAAAATCGAAATTTAAAGCCAGAATGTTACGAGCATAGTTCCCCTCTTCGTTGGCACATTTCACTGTATTTCTTAATGTTAGAAAAGTTATTAGCACAGGTGTCGTCTAGCTGTATTTAATTTCAGCATAGCCTAAAGTGTCCCTTGCTACCTTTTCTGCAATTCTTGTTGGTAAAGCACGTCCAGGGCATATCTGTCGTGACAGTTAAGCCTAGGCATGTAGCTCCTTCCTCCGTGTCTTGGCATAAGCGGAATGTCTCGTAGCTTCCCAAGCTAAGCCTCCTTTTAGGGTCCCCTCATAGTATTGTTTTCATGGTGATTTAGCATAAGCTAATGTGTCGCTGTGCCGTCCATGCATTTGCAGAGCCCCCAGAATATGTTGAACAGGACGAAAAGCCTAGCAGCCATCTTGTATCTGTCACATCAGGTCTGTCCTAAAATTAATGTTTGGCTTGTTTGTTTTTTAATACTCTTGGCCTTACAAAACATTATCTTTATTTAAAAATACCTCACCTCCTTCTTCACCCGCAGAGACAGAATGTTACGATGAAGTTTGGAAACCTAAAAACCCAGTGCCAGCTCTTACGAAAGGTATATATTTCCGTTAACATCTCTTTTTGTAATTGGGAACATGACGCCAGAACATCGCGTGTCGTCATATTGTTTTCCCCACCAGGCGAACCACCAGATTACATTGACGTGACAAAGGTTACGTTCCACGCAAATTCAGGTTCGTGCTTCATTGAACTGGCAATTTTGACATTCAATCATTGGCAATAGGTTGAATTTGACCTCGTCCTTCACAGAGCCGCAGGTTTTCGAAGAGGCCCAACAGCATGGCAACGCAGCGGTGGCCGTCAAGATCGGTCTGTTGTCTCTGTGTCTTTTCACAGCTGGGCGCCATTCTGAATGTTGGAACTGCCTTTATGTGCAGAGCCTCAGGAGCCGGCGGAAGTCGACAATCAGGCAATCGCTGCAGAGACAGGTGCGTAGCTACGCTTTATTTTTTGTTTTTCCCAGTTCTAGATCTCTAGATGGCGCTACGTGATTATGTTGCTGCAGGGAAAGCCTGTGCGCAGGAGCATAATAGTCTCGTAGCGCCATCTAGGCACAAGGTTGTACACAAACAAAATAATTAAACCTAAAACCGAGAACGCGCAGTGCGGTAGCGGCGTTTTCAACTGTCGCCGTCGCGGCAGTATTTTCCTTCTCATGGCACGCAACTTCAGGGTGAAAATTTATGTGTAATTGATTTTTTTTACCTAGAAAATATGTAATACCTGTCATTTTCGCTTCGTGGGGCCGTGAAACTGCTTCAATAAAGGAAAATTGTATTAAACATGAATTCGTTGTAAGTCAGGGAAACACATTGAACAAATAGGAGATTGTCTGGGACTTTATTTTACTTCGTTAAATGGGCGTTTTCATAGTAGAGGTGGATGTTATAAAAGCGCTTGACTGTATTCATTTCTTTACGCCCAATAGTGCCCTGACACACCTCGTACATAGCGTGATCAGCGTGCCATCCATCCGTTTGCTCTTTCCTTTCCTCTTCCCAGGCCTGGGTGAGGCAGCTCCGAAGGAGTTCCAGCAAGATCTAGTCCCCGTGAATCCCATGGGCTCGTATGCTGTCATGGCGCAGCCACAGCAGTGGGTCTTCCCCACCATCTCCGACAAAGCGCAGCCGCAGGCCAACATCATCTACTTCCACAAGGTGGAACAGCACGGCATCGCGATGCAGCCCGTGGTGACAACTCTGCCGGTCGTGGCAGTACAGTCCGTCGTGGCGGCGGAGTCCGAACAGGCGGTCGTCGTGGCAGTGCAGCCGCAACAGCCGGTCGTCGCGCCGGCGTGGCTTCCTCGTTCCGGCAAGTCTCTCGGATATCTTCGGTGCAGCGTTTTCGGTGATGTCGGTGCCGGATTTTCGCTTTGCAACTGTTGTTGTGGACGTTTTCGTTTCTCCTTTGTTTCGTAGAGTGCCGAAGTAGCGCCCACCCAACTTTTGGTGAAAGTTGGCTGACTGTAACTCAGTTAAAGGGGCAACAAGTGAGATGACAGCCAACATGGAAACATTCTGACAAAAAAATACATTTCTTGGTCGTGTCAATAAAAGCAAAGGCCTTTTTTTTTTTTTAACAATGCACAATGTTGAGAGAGTGAGAAACTGTGGTTGACAGCTGTCCTTGGGCACTATAAGACATGGATTGATTGATCTGTGCAAAGCGCAAGTTTCGTGCTCGTGCTGTTTGGGGTTAGGGGCCATTTCAGTCATGTAGATTACCCTGGTGCAAAACAAACTTGTCAGCGACAAAGATGATGACGTCATCTTTCTTGCTGGCAAGGGTTTTTCACTGAAACGAATGCTTCAGGCACCCACAGTGTCATTTCTTTGTTTGATGACTGTTAGGCTTAGGTGGATGTCAGCTTAGAGAGATTTTGTTTTTTTCTCGTATTTTTTGAGACAGGTAATGTCATGTTCTGAAACTTCCCCATTCAATCAATACCGCTAATGTTACCTTTTCGTGATATTTCAGCTTTCTGAAATGCGTAGTTTATGTGAAGAAAAAACCGGGTTTCATTATCTTAATTGGACCCATCACAAATATTGTTTTGTCCCTCGTTGATTACATCTTCCATGATTTGTTTCAGACATGGGGGGTGAGTCTGGTGCCCAACAGGGTCTATCCGTTCTGCTGAATGCTGGTCCAGGTGAGATAGACAATTCACGTCTTCGGCCTGCTTGGCCGACAGTTTAATGGGTTGGCGTCGTTGCTCGTTAGAAATTGCGTGCCTTTAACACTAGAAGACCTTGTCACTTGCCTTTTGCAAAGCTTAAAAGTTTACAATTATGGAAAAATACATTAATACATTAGTGTCGGCACTGGTCATTCCATTAGTAATCGTGGCAGAAGAGTTCTCTAATCTGTATTAGGCATGGATAGAGAAATACTATGCAAGGTATTTAGAATTGTTGAAGTGGTTCAAACTTACCAGTTGTGTAGTGATAATTTTCCGCAGAATGGTTGCTTGGTGTGACCCGACATTGGGAACTAGAGAACTATTTTCACAAAACTTGATTGATCCCAACTTTTCTGCCACTTTAAAGCCCATCTCTCCCCTTTCTAAATACCATATTTAGTCGAGTAATAGAAACTCTATTTATGAACAATGGCTTTGTGTCTACTTTCTCGCAGGACATGTACAGCCAATCATCGCGTTGCGCATAAATTACAGCGATTCACTGGGTAGGGAACATGATTATCCGTAGAAATGCAATCTTCACCGATAATACCTTCGCGTGAAGACCTTGTCTCTGTCCCAGAAATCGCTGGCATCATGCTGTTGATCTTGGTGATTGGCAATCTGCATGCTCCGCGAAAAAGCGGACACTCGGTTTTTTTTTATCAACAGTGTGGCTGTTACTCAAATAAATACGGTACTATATAAAGTGTCGCCCGGTGTTACTTAAGGGGACACACCCCCTAGGGGGGTCAACTTTTGAACCCTTGTCTTAAAATTAATGAAATTTACAGGGTAGACTGGTGGTCATGCTAGAGAGTGCATAACAAAATTTTAGGTCTGTCGGTTACATGAGAAAGAAATTAGAGACGCTTCTATCAGCAACATGCCTACATTGTTTAGTTAATCTATCGTCAAAAAGCTATCACAATATTAAAGATTTTTATTTGCTAGATATGTATCAGAATGCCTAGAGGGTGCGGCTATGGAACATTTTTTATAAAAAGTCGTTTATTTCTATAACTTTTCTCTTCTGCAAAATTGGTCAACTTTTTGGTCTTCTGTATGTTCGACAAAATGTTAACATTTTTTATAAAAGAAATTCCTAAAGTGACGAAAAAGTTCCATAGCCGCATTCCTTATTAAATTTCAGTCAGGAAAAGGGAAGAATGAGCCTCAACTGTTTTGCCATTATCAAACGATAGATTGACTAAAATGGAATTTATACCAAAAAGTGGAACGGAGGAAAATGTGTTCAAAGTACTCCAAACCCTGCCTTTTTTTTTAGCTTTGGTGGACAGAAAATAATTTATAAAAAATTAACTATGCAGTGTAAATTAATTAAACTTCTTTGGGATACTCTCTAGATGTTGGTGGATGTAAATATGTCATTTTTCAAAATCAACTTTTTTTGCAGAATTTTTTTTTTCTAGGCAGTGTCTCCCCTTAATGGCAGCCTCTTGTCATCTCTCCAAAAATGGCCACCAAACTGAAAGCCCATCAATTGTCCGGAGCTGAGCTCCCCGCTCTTGTCTAAACATTGGCCTGCGCTGCGTCGCGGAACTGGGAGACAAGCAATCAAAGGGACAGGAGAGCACATCGCAACTTCTCCTCCTAACGAGCTGTGCGTAGCTCTCTATGTGTGCAGATGGTTCACGCCAACGTGAATTGGCCTCTCATGATGTGCTTCAACAGGCACAGCACCGCTTGCCTCGCCAGATGTGTTCTTGTCCCTTCAATTTAAACCGATGAGCAGGCGTGGTGTCGAGTTGCTTACGGGCGGACGCGACCAATCTTACGGTTTGGTGGCATTGTAAGTGCTGTCCCATTTAAAAAGTGACTTGCCGTCACGTTATATTCGTGCAAATACGGTACTGTAAGGCAGTAGAACCAGCTCCTGAAACTAGGAACTTCCAACCTTGGCCTTCATTTTGCACCATATCAGCCCTTAGATGTCTAGCCTTCATCTGCCACGCGACCACTGACAATCGGTCCCACCTCCGTAATGGAAAGTTAGGTCTATTGCATCGGTGTTCGTACACTGTGTGTACTTAAGGTGCCTCCATCTGTTTGCTGTTTCTAGGTCCGGGTGCAGCACCTTTGCGGGACGTCGAGCAACATCGAGTCCACGTGGATCCGACTGTCCCGGTGCAGTCACCTTTTCACGGACCCTTTGCCGTCAGCGAAGGTGTACAATCGCAGGAAGACCTAGTCCAATTCCAAGAGTTCAAGCAGTCATAGCAGAGAGTTGTTGCGACTTAGTTGTTTTGACATTTGTCACGACAAAGTTGCGGCACGGCGTTTGGCGGCGTCGTGGCGCATTGAACCGGAACAAGTCGTCGTCGTGCCGGCACGGCCCGCTGGTTCGGGTGAGGAACTCCCTTGGTTAGCTTTTGGAGGGGACGGTACGGTGCTTGGAACGCAACTCCGACTGTTGTACGCGTCCTCAAATGTGGTACCTCGATTTTCGCCGGACGACGTCGTAGAAGTGCGACACTGTCTCCTGCCGCGATCCTAGCGGTGGTGCAGCGGTGGAGTGGGGCGTGGGAGACTCCTGTATTGCTGCTGCTAGCTCTCGAGTTTGATGTTCCACAGTAGCCTTAACAGCCGGGAGTTAAAATGCCGCCACAACAGCGACACTCGCGGTCTCTTGCGCTTTTTTGTCCGGGATTTCTAGGCCCGACCGCCGGGACTGCGACACTCTGGCTTTTGCGACGTCGTTCGTTGTCACTTCGAGACCACTTTTAGACGTGCGGGCTAAATGGGACGCTGGGCACATCGTTCGGAGACGCGTTCCAGGTGTCGTACCTTAGCGAAGCTACTTTTTTTTGTCTGCAATTGCTGTCGGAGCTTGATCTGTAAACCTCAACGATTCACTTTTTGCATGCTCCGCAGGAAAGTGGGCATGCAGACTTTATTGGGCACGGTCACGAAGGCTTAGTTGCGAAATGGCGGACCCTTTTTCGAGCATATATGTACGGTACGCTAGACTGCGAGGGCGTGAGATGTCTGTTCTACTAGATTTCAAGGCGAAGAAGCAGCGGTGGCAACGTTGCTAGATCAAAATCGGTTGACAAGCTTCCGGAACACCTGGCACCCTTTCGTAGCGTGCCTGCTCGGTGGTACTGGCTACACTATCCAGAAGCGGCAGAACGTTGGATGCACATGGCGTGCGGTGAAAAGTAATTCTATTATGGATTTCACAGTAAACAAAGCAGAAAAAGAGTGTCGTTAGAAAACAATCTTTCTTTGTTACCCGTGGAAGCGGTGCCGCCAGTGGCACTAGGAATTCGATTGGGCCATGCTTGCGTGCAGGCAATAGAAGAACTATTCTCGAATCTCTCTCTTCGTGGAGCTTGTCAACTGAAACTGTATTCACTCGCATAATGAACACTTTTTTTTTTCCGAAAAATCTACATATACTTGGGGGCGCATTTATTATGAGGGGTAAAATCTTTGCATTTACACACTTTGCACAAATGTTATTTTAGGTGCCAATATGACTTGGCAGAGTACTGTGACACATCTCCACTGACGGAGGCACGCCCAAGCTGGTCGTGGGTGCGCCACAGTAACCATGATCTCTAAATTGCAAACCTTTTTAGGATGCTTTTGGCGTGCCTTTTGCCAAAAAAAAAAGCGCCCTACAAAGCTCGCTCAGCACGGAGAGCGACGGGACCGTTCTTAGGCCTAACCAGTTTCATGATATCACCGTTCAAAAGCGGATCATAGACGGCGGCGTGTTTGTTGACATCGGTGCATCCGATGGGCGAAGCAAGTGTGGGACCTGGCAATTCCTCAACCCCAACTTCGCTAGGTGTGCGTGCCTCTCGGTTTCACGGTTGATCACTTCTGCAACCACGCAATTGCTGTCATTACGAGAGCGGCTTGGCTTGACTTGGCCTGGCCGCTTGGCGGCAAAAAAAAATTGGCGGGCTTAGTGCCTTGCTGGCTAGCTTAGTTGGATGCAGTTCAAGACTCGTGGAGCTGTAAATTAAAAGTGTGTTCATTATGCAAGGGAAAGAAAAGTACAAATATTGATGGCTGTTGTGGGGGGTGCGTTCATTATGCGAGTAAATACAGTAGATCTCAAAAAAGTTGGCCTGTGAGGGAAAAAAAAAAAAATTGGAGGAGCGCTGGTCTTGGGACAAGATCTGAGAAACGACCCGCTTCATCTAGTTGCTCCTCCACTGGTCTGTTACCACTTCCATGACGATCATAGACACGTTTGTCCGCAGGAAGCCGTGGGTCCACAAGATGACAAGAGTGAGCTTGAGCAGTCCGGCAAGCTCTTCGTTGGCGGCCTGGACTACGGTACGACGGACTCTAGGGTCGCTTGGAGTAGTGAGAAGGTGTCGTCGTTTATGTGCGGCTACGAACTTAACGTCGATGCACCAAACGAGTCTTTGTGCCCGTGCAAAATGGAACGCCCTGCACGGTGCTTTTCGTGGACGCATTCAGTGCCCGTCGGAGTGCCACAGTGTGTGTCTGTGTGTGCAAGTGGGTCAGCGATCGAGTGTGACATTGTGAAGCTTATTAGAACTCTTTTTTCACGTTCATTCATTGTACAGCCATTTCCATTTTGTGAATTCATTACTTCGATGGAGGCGCCATTTGACCTTTTGCAGCAGGTTCTGTAGCAGACCAAATATTTGTGTAGAGCAACTGCCAATGCTTCTGGAGCAGATGCCAACATCTGTTAGCACATCACTTGAAAATGAAAAAGTGGCTGCATAGCTAAGTGAGCTCATCTTTGATAATAACTGTGTTTTCTTTGAGATTGGGGCATATTATTTATTAACTTCTAATAATAATAGAGTGATGCAAGAGGAACACAAAGCTATTTTATTTGCAACGAACAAGAAAAAAAATCACTAACGTGAGTTTTAACTGTTTTGAGAGGAGTTTGTTGGTAGAAGCCTAGAAGGACGAATAGCATATCTTTCGATCAAGCTCTGCTGTCCGCATTCTACCCTTCTATGCGTAAACCTTTCGCGAATTTAAAAGCGTCTTTCGAAATAAAATTATTTTACTATCCAGCTTTATATTTATTTCTGAAAGAAATAAACTATGGCAAACTAGTCGCAGGGCTGTCAAAGATATGAGATATAAACTCTGAAATATTATAAAACTGGCAGAAGAATATTTATATATAGACTACAATTTACTCGACGGGGATCTACACTGTTGTGCACGAAATCGACAAGAGGTAGAGGTGAGATTTCACCAACAGTCTACAGATCATAAAATATTTGCAGGACAGTCTTCATCCACAGAACCACGTGCTAAAAACGCTCACCGAAATGTGTGCGTCGCAATGAAATCACGGTGGCATTTTGTGAATTTCAAAAATTAAATGATATATTCAGTTACCCCAAAAAGTACATAACCCTCAAATGGTTCAATTTGTGGCTGGAAGATCAGCTTAGGAAAACTTTCAAACTCACCGTCGTCAGTTGGGATCTGAACAAGCGGGTGTTTCTTGTCCCTGACGCTGCTTGGGCACTACTTTGCGTAACCGCACAAAATGAAGTAGTTCAAACAGTTCAAAGACCAAAATCCTTTCACTAGCCCGAAAGTGCGATGATCAAGGTGCGGCGCGCATGCGCACATGTAGCGGTTTCGTTTTAGAAGCGCAAAAAACTGAAAAAGACGAAAATTAAAAAGTGCAATGTGGACATGAATTAAAAAAAAAAAAAAAATCTTTAGGAATATGTAATTTGTGTTTAGTAAAATTATATACAGTTATAACTAGAGCTAACTGAAGTTTGATTCATTATTGTTTTCTTTCTCTAGTTTTTCGTAGTGATGGACCGAACCTGCCGAACTTCAGGTTTGGCAAAGATTCGGCAAAAATTTGGCAAACGTCTGCGCTCGCGCGAGGACAAGAAGGGGCCATGGATTGCAAATGGACGCTGTACGATCATGCGGTTACCATCATCTTGTAGCCTCTGTACCATCATACAGTGTACAGTAAAACCCGTTTATAACGAACAGCAGGAAACTCTATGATCAGTTCGATCTAGCAAAAACATTTACAACGAACTTCCACGATGAGTTCGTTGTAAGGCGAGAGCTTCTCTTTCTCATCTCTTCACTTCTACCTTGTAACCCCGCGCTATTTTTTTTTTTTTTCCCCTCTTTTTCTGTGTGCGTGCGGGAGGCACTCACTTGATCGAATGACGTTTTAGCGAACACCCACGTTTCACCGAACGACACTTTAGCGAATAGTCGGACGCCGCGAAGCGGCGTTTTCGGGTGGGCCAAGTGAGTTCATATTTTTGTAATCAGTTGCCGCAGACTGTCGCCGCGATTCGCTAAAACGACCATTCGCTCAAATGTCGCCGTTCGCTAAAATGTCATTCGCTCTTGTGATATGGACCCCTTTTGGAATGTTCTTTCTTTCCTACTTCTTTTTTGGGGAAGGGACAGCCTAGAAGACGATTGTTTGCACGTTTTTGGAAGCCTTCCTGGGGGAAAAAGTTCGTATAGCCAATATGTTGATCATTATAAAACATACTTTTTACGTGAATTTTTATTCAAATTTCTGTGAGTTCGATATCGACAATAATTCACTGTACGTGGGTCCGTTTTTAACGGGTTTCACTGTAGTTCGTCCAGCAGCGGTTACGGCAAGGTGCGGAGTAGGTGACATGGTAACTGTGTGTTTGTCACCGTTTGCGAAAATTGAGGCAGAAAATATTTTCAATATTTTCTGCCTCAAGAACAGAAGGTCGACCAGAAATTGGCTCAAAAACGACGCAGTTCACTGCGCAAGTGGCAAATTATCCGGTACATTCCGGAAAACATGATTTTCATTTTATCTTTCCAGTGATATGCAACGAGCTTTTGAAACATTGACCGACGAGTACTTTAAAGCACCGCTCGCCTGTTTTCGGCTCACCACAAGTAGTTTGTGCCAAAACAAAATAATATTGCTTTTCAATTAGCGTTATTTCGTGGTTTTCATCTATCCGCATAAAATTAAACACAGAACTATCATGCTCCATGTAGCACATCCGACATTCCTACTCGTCTGGGGCACACCGCACCCCCGTCCAGTGCAGTAAACTTTCCACTTTAGTAAACAAAAGTCTGGCAGGAAGAGAAGGGAGCTCCCCTCTAGCCTTCCGTGTACCACGAACCGCACCGGACCGGTGCGACGCGGGCCCAAATGCGGGCCCATCTGTGCCCTAACATCAGAAACCGGCATTTTAAAATTAAAAAATGAGACGTTGCTAATATGGGACGCACACTTTCATGCAAAGCTGAAGTGACTCAAATCGAAAAAATGCATCTTTACAATAATATTGTAATCTCTTCTGGTGAAGGCTCAGCAACCGTTGCATTCGCTTTCGCGCACGAAACTGACTCGCAGACCACCTTTATTTGAGCCAACTTGCGCTGATCAGGCCCCAAAACCGAAACTCCCGTATCGCCCCTGCGGCTGCTATTACCCAATCTCCTTGTCGCACTACTTATGCAAAAAGTCGCTTTTAAAATTACCAGTAAACACTCAAAGAATGACACCGATACAATTATTTTGTAGAATATTACCTTATTTACTAATAACTGTCAATGTGCAATAAAGAACACCAATTTTCTTTTTTCGCATGAAAAAACGATATTTAAACTTTTATTTCTGGTAACAATGTATTTTTGCTGAATCTTTATATTAAATTATTTTAATTTAAAAATTTAATTTAAACAAATTAAAAAAAAAGGGATGACAAAATGTTAGGTTAGGTGGCGCAAGCTGCCGCCCGTTACCATTACCTCCTATCCATTCATCCTTTAGAAAAGTTCGGCAAAAATTAGGCTTTGACGAATCTTCAAATCGGCAAAAGTTCGGCCCACTGCGGTTCGGCCCATCACTAGTTTTTAGTAATGAGCGCCTCCCACCATACGAGCGCTGCTGTTCTTGGCTGTACAGAACATAGAGATCATAGGTACACAAGGGCCCTTCTATCCTCCTTGACCAGTGTCCTTGACTGTACACCGAGGGGCTTTATGTACTATCGGGGAAAAATGAAATGCGAACCGAGGAGCGCGTGGCTCGCGGTACAGGCTGCGCCACCTGGAAGTGAGCCTAGGAGCGAGGGTGCGTGGCCTACTTCGATGTGTTCACGCTCCTCGATTGGCGCTCCGCCAGCTTCGGCAGAGCGCCTCTCAGTGCGCCGAAAGCTGTGACCGCTATCTTTGCCTGCTCGGCGAGTGCGGCGAGCTTCTTTGCACTGCACGCGCTGAGCCAGCAAAGATAGCGGTGATAGCTTTCAGCGCACCAAGAGGCGCACTGCTGAAGCTTGGAAAGCGCAGAGGGAGGGGCGTAAACACATCAAAGTAGGCCACGCAAACTCGCTCCTAAACTCACTTCCAGGCGGCGCAGCCTGTACCGCGAGCAACGCGCTCCTCTGTTCGCATTTCAGTTTTCCCCGATAGTACACCCCATACACCCAATTAGGGAGGCTCAAGTGAGGGTGGGTGCAACTGCTAGATCGGGGATCATGGGACATGGACGCCATTTAATTGCTAAATTTTGCTGGGAGTCTATGGGGCAAAGGGTCGTTTTCTTTTCTAACTCAGGTCATAAGAGCCCATCAAGGTGCTTGAATAATTTACACAAGGTATAATTGATTACCTTTCTATAGCCACCAGTTTTGTTCCGATAGGCTAAGTATTTTTTTAACGCGAAAAGTAGTAAATTTCGCCATCTTGGACGTTGCTGCTTGTCTGGCAACCCTGCTTTCTCCTCTCGACGTTTGCAATTCTCGGAGCGAGAAGGAAGCGAGAGAGGCTGCGCCAAGGCGTTCGTTGCTTGCAATGGGAGGCGAGAGGAGGAAAGGCGCTTGGAGCTATGGGGCTATGGCTTGGAGCAACAGAGTTGCAACAGAGCGGGCGTCTGCTCTCGTGCAGGCAACATTGGCACATATCCTTTCTCGAATCCTCTCCCTCAGGCGCCGCCATTAAATTGCAAACGCTCTCCAGGACTCCAGGTTTTGAGTTGCGCCCACCCTCACTAGAGCTAGAGCTATGGTGTACTAGTCACTGATCTCAATGACAATTGCTGGATCGCGCTTGCCGCTCCCGCGAGTGAAGCCACCGGGCGTCACTCGCTTGGGATACGATTTGCCGTTTTTGCTAGCCTTTGCTGCGGTTTTCCAGCGTGCTGACGTTACGTTTTCTACTCGTTCGTCGTCATTCGCCGAAGAAGTTTTTTGAAGACCCTGTGTATTGTTGAGACTTTCCGTTGTGAACACGTGGAAAATTTTACGAAAGTGCAGTGTCGCAGGAAAAAGGCACAACGCGTCGAAAGGAAGGGCTGGCGGCGTGTTCAAAGCATCCTTGGCACGCCGAAGTGCCGTGTCTCTGTGCCTTCGCGCGCTTGGATACCGACCAAGAACCGACGCCATGTGAATGTGTTTAGCGAGTGCAATGTGCGTGAAGCTGTTCGTGCCTTGCCCGGTGGCTTCACTTGCGCTGCAGCGAACAAGCGGGGAAGCGCGATAGTACTACTAGTACTAGTCGTACTAGTAGTACACCATACTAGAGCCTCCCTACACCCAATATACGGCTCTGTGTACACCTTGATGGTGGCGCCATCCGTGTTCGCGCCGCGCAACCAGGCTCAACTCGCTTTTTGCCGGAGGTTGGGCAAGTTGCCGTTTCCGTGTTCAATCGGTTCAGTTTCGCTTCTCTTTCGTCGTAATGGGGAGGCCGCGTATAATCCGGACTGCCGAAGAGCAACGCGCTTACAAAGAGCGACGGCGGGAACAGCAACGAGAATGTCAGCGGCGGCGGCGGGCTGCAAACACCACCGATGAAGATCGTGCCCGAAACGCCGAGCGCCTGCGGCAAATGAGGCAAGACGACGAACGTCGCGGGGCGGAGAACGCGTCAAAAAGACGCAGGTACCATGCTGCCAAATTGGACAGCTTTAACGGAGCATGCGCTAAATTCAAAAGGGACTTTCTGGACAGACAGTATGTGTGTAGTTGTAGGGTGTGTGGTCGGCTGTGGTTCGACAACGACTTGACCAGGATCGGCGATGTGCGGGATCCTGCAAAGAGGACTCGTGCGCTGCAAGTGTTGTCGGACTCCTTGCCGGACGCCGGGGACGTCGAAAACTTCGAAGTGTGCGGGACGTGTAAAGATTCTCTGCTCAAAGGTGCCGGCTTCGCTGGTCATCCAGCTTCATAGTGTGGAATGGCTCGTGATTTTTGCTTTTTTGGCATAATGTAAAATCAATGCATTATCAGACTGTTTCAAAGTAAACTTTTATTTTTTTAGAAAGGTTGTAATCGCATCTTTATTCCCTGTTGCCATTAGCAGACCATTTCTTGGTCAGGTTAATTTAATTTAAATCTTTTTTTTTTTTTTTTTTTTTTTAGTTTACAAAATTTTGACATAGAGGTTTCTGAAAAGAACTTGGGAAATAACTATTTTGTGGGCCGTCTGACAGGCCAGGTACATGAGCAGAGCACCAACTTGTTTACTATATATATATATATATATATATTATTTTTTTATTATTTATTATGTCTTCAATGTTTTGTTTCAGGTGTGCAGAATGACTCTGAAGTCCAAGAAAGCGAAACCATACTGCCAGATGATGGACCAGGTGAGTTTTCACTTTTATGTCTCTGGCCCATGTGGCCGATAGTTTAGGAGGTTGGCGTTATTGGTTATTCTTCATCCAAAACTTTACGCTTCTAAAAAAAAAAAAAGAGAAAAATCTGTAAATTCATAAGCACATTAGTGTCAGTAAAGATGTTCTTCCTTCGAGATTGCGCCGGGACCCGACGACGGAGGCAGCTGATGGTCGCTGACGGAAGAATAAACCAGACAGGACTCCGCGGGTAGGGGGAAGAAAAAAAACACGTCTATTTACAAGTGAAGCTAATTTCCGAATGTCTCCAAAAAGGTCACATCACGTGCTCTCCTCGTCCTCTTCTCTTCTCAAAAAATGTCCCCTGCCCCAGCTCGCACGAGCGTCGCCAGTTCACCCACACACAGGGGCACACGTGCAAACGCAAACACGCAAAGAAAAGAACCTGTTCCCGCGTCCCTTCACGGTGATGGGGGGGCCGATTCTCACACCTCCCGACTAAGTATATTTTTTAGACCCGAAATGTCAAAAACAATATATCACAACTAAACTCGTTCGCGTTCAGCGCATTCGCGTATCAGTCACACTTTGCACTTTACACCAAGTGCAAATCCCGTGCTAGTAAAGTGATTCTTACTGTGCCCGCCACGGCTCCAAAGGAGTGACAAATGTCGTGCTAAAACTAGCGTAGCATCTAGCCTCCTAGCCTCGGTCTCTTTGCTGACAGGTTATTCAAGCCATCCAGATTTCGACAGGGCTCGAATTCGATGGTGCATAGCCGGTTCCGGAACATCCCCGCGCAAGAGCGACGACAGTGTATGCTCTGTCCTGACTTACGAATCGGGAAGGGGCCTCGCAGGCGGTCGTCGTTGTCGATGTCTTCTGCAATCTCAGCTCTCTCACATGTGGCCGGCTGGTAGGTGGTCGAGTTTTCATCGGCGTCCTTAGCTATATTCTGGGACGACTTCATCTCGAAGACCACGTCCTCGTCGCTGTTCCCGCTTTCCCTGACACCTTCACCGGCCCGCTGTGACGTCAGCCGCTCTAACAAGTTGTCCGACTTCTTGTCAACACCCACGTCCTTGCCGTGGTCGTCATCAGCTTGCCAGAACGTCTGCCACCAAAGCAAAATATCCGTTTCTTTTTCGTCGTCGACGTTCACGTTCTTGTCATGGTCATCCTGCTGCCCAGGCGATAAGTTCGGTCCTCCGCCGTCGTCCACGTTCTCGCCGTCATCGTCCTCGGTTTGCCGGAACGCCCACCTCCCAGGAGATACTCTAGGTTCTTCTTTGTAACCGCCACCCATGTTCTCAACGTGGTCGTTATTGGCTTGTAGGAACATGTGCAAATCAGGTAAGATGTCGGGACCGGCCTCGACGTTGTCGAAGTTCACACATGGGTCGTCCTCAGATTGCCAGGATGCCTGCTGCCCAGGCCAAGTGCACGGCCTTTCGTCGTCGATGTTCAACTGCTCGTCGTGGTCATCCTCCGCTCGCTGGGACATCCTCCAGGCACGCGAGACGTTCAGCTCATTTCTGCCGTCAACGTCCGCCTGCACAGACACGCAGCCGCGATTGTTCTTCGACGACCGCTCCATGTCGTCGGCCTGTAACAGAATGTAAGGCGCCTCGCGGATCGATGGGTCCCAACTCTTCTGACCGTGGTGGTCTAAGTTGTTACCGACGATCTTGCCCACTACGGTCGTCACCTTGTCGGGCTCACAGCTGCAATCTTCCTCCACTTTGACTTTCTTGGCGTCTACTTTTTTCTTTTGAAACAGAGGTTCTTCGTCTGGTGTCTTCGTCCGGGGACATTCGAGGGAATAGTGCCCCAATTCCTTGCATTTAAAACACTTCACCCGATAGTTTTCAGGTACGATGCCCTGCCTTGGGCTCTCGCGTCTTTCCTTGAGAGAAGTGGTGGTTTCAATAAAGGGCCTCCAGACCTCAGCTCGCGACACTCCGAGCTCTAACAAGACCGATTCTTTGACCGCACCATACCCACTTCTCTCACCCATGTTAAGCCTATTCACTAGTGCACGCATGCTCTCCGTGAAATAAGGTCGCACAAGATATCCTTTGAGCCGCTCAGGGACTTCATATGTCTCGAAGACGTTTTCTACGCCATCAAACCAGCTCGGCACTAATAAGTCGGATGACGGCATGGGAGTCAGCACTCCCTTCATCATTCTCGAAAAGCGAAAAACTTCATCTCGGAGGTTGAACTCCATGCCCCCTCCACTGGCTCGCCTTCGGTTTTCTGAGCGTAGAAGTTCTAGTTCTAGCTCGAGGCGTAACAGCCGTTCTTTCTCCCTTGTAAGTTCTATCTCCTTTTCAATTGAGCTGTATGATCGGACTCCTCCGTTCCCATCCCCTTGTGTCTGAAAGTTTGCCACTAATCCACTCAAAGGTGACGATTCACCTGGCCCGTCAACATCCCTATTCCGACCCCTATCCTGCTCTGGCGTTAGAACCGGCATCTGCCGCTCTGCGCTGTCTGTATCCATGGCGGGCACACGTCAAAGAATCACCTTACCGTAAGGTCAACGACTGCCGCTGGATCAGAGACGCAGCCCGCTCCTCAGAATAGTCAGGCACGAAAATGATGTTCGAGCTGTAGACTCAAGCGTTCCTCGCTGGAGTGGGACGGCATCCGGTCAAAGGTAGCTCTGCCACCACGAAGTAGCTCGGTGGTCCAATCTTCAAGGAACCCGGTGGTCCAGTCTTCTCTTTAGAAGGCCCCACCAATGCCGCGTCAAGTCGCTGTCCGCCGATTCCGTTGTGAAGATCACGCCGCCGGGGTCCGCTGACGCAATCCTGTCGACTGCGCCAGTAAAGATGTTCTTCCTTCGAGATTGCGCCGGGACCCGACGACGGAGGCAGCTGATGGTCGCTGACGGAAGAATAAACCAGACAGGACTCCGCGGATAGGGGGAAGAAAAAAAACACGTCTATTTACAAGTGAAGCTAATTTCCGAATGTCTCCAAAAAGGTCACATCACGCGCTCTCCTCGTCCTCTTCTCTTCTCAAAAAATGTCCCCTGCCCCAGCTCGCACGAGCGTCGCCAGTTCACCCACACACCGGGGCACACGTGCAAACGCAAACACGCAAAGAAAAGAGCCTGTTTCCGCGTCCCTTCACGGTGATGGGGGGGCTGATTCTCACAGTGTCAATGGGATAATTTCATTAATAATGGTAGCAGTTCAGTTTATTATTCCTGAAAGACTTCAGATGAAGTGCATTGCTCGCATGGGGCAGGGTTGGGTAGTATCACAATAATGTATCGCGATAGTATTTTAGAAATACATTTCGTATCTGTATTTCTGTATTGCAATAAATTTTTTTCACCAGTATATGTATTCCTGTATTGAAAAATACATTTGGAATGTTTCTTTGTATCACGATACAAGCAGAATGAAATGTATTTCGTAATGTTTCTTAAGAAATACTTGCCCCCCCCCCCCCCCCCCCCCTTTCTTTCAAAATACAAGTTCGAACGCCTTTTTTTTTCTCCCTTTTCTTCTTTTACTTCTGAGGGCAACAGGGTCAAGGAAATGCTGGGGCCAGGACTGTAGCCAGGGGGCCATGGAACCCCCCCTCCCTCCGAAATCTTTCATTCTGCTGGGGCCTCCTCTCCCCCCTCCCCCTCATATAGCATTTTGTCATGGATGACATTGAAATTATTTAGAGGTCGAAGTCTCTTCGCGTCACTCGTCAGACAGACAGGATGTCAGGGAAGGGACCGCGATCAATCCTTGATGAAACTTTTTTTGAGCCCACTGAAGACTCCTCTTCGTCCAAAACCACCACCTTCAAGGCAAAGTTCCAAGCCTACAGAAAAGTAATTTCAGGATCAAAAACTTCCACTTCAAGCTTCATCCCAGTTGGCGTCTCAAACAAATTTGAAAAATGTATTGCAGTATCAGTATTTCTGTACTTGTATTTCTGCCCTCCTTAAAATGTACTCCTGTATTTGTATTTCCAAAGACATTTTGCCTCTTTTTAAAATGTATTTCTGATACATATCGCAATACATTTTTACAGATATATTATGCTACGCTGGACGCGAAACGGCCAACGAGCAACTATGGGCACTTCGGCATGCGGGCCGCTTGTTACCGGCTGGGCGGTCTCCCTCGGGTGATGGCGGAGGCCGCCGCACACATACTCCCGTTCCATTTGCGTTGGGTCACTGAATGGAAGCTCGAACTCGCCCGCGAGAGCGGCATTGCCGTCCATGTTGACAGATTCGACGAAACGGCCGCGCCATCATGCTGCTATAACCCACCGCGGTAACCAGAGTCTCCATCTCCTAAATACTACCGATACCGACTATTCACACTTGACATCACTCCCTACGTCACCTCCGTTTTCGGAGGCCCAGAAACGAAAATGGAGATTGTTCAGTTTCAGTTTCTTTGCTTCTTTCGTAGGCACAGGAATACGCATCATAAATGTCTACAAAAAGTTGGGCGGCATGCTGTGTTCCCAAGAAGCATAAAAACACCATTTTAAAAACTTAAATAAAATCGTCTTCATTGTCCCTTTAAAGCCTCTTGCTATCTCTGTTTGCAGGATGGGGTGGATCCACTGACGAGAGTGTGATGCCAGCTGAGGCTATCAAGACAGGTTCGTTTCTGCGTGAGCAGTTTTCACACTATGGTAGCATCTCATGTCGGTTGAAAACACAGCGTGAAAAGGGCTGCCAACATTTGAGGTTCATACGATCAAACAGGCGGCACAAATCGGACACAAACCATATAGGAAGGACTGCTGCACCCTCATCTAGGCCTCTGTTTTTTTTTTATCTGGGTACAGGAACGAAAAGTAATTTTGAGACGTTGCTCGTCCTACGGGAAGCAATCCAGTGCATTGGTGACTTCGATTTCTGCTTTTGCATGGCTCCTTTTTTCTAACACAAATTTTTACAATTGGACAACATTCCAATTTGAGAATATATTAATTTGCACTGAGAAGTAAAACTACTAGTCACTGTTTCTAGAAGGGTGTGAATTCACACGAATTATGGGTCACAATAGCTTAAAGTTTTGTGAGCTGAATGTTTTAATAGGGCTTCTCAAAACACTCAACATTATACTCCATTTCACGATAACTTGGCAAACTGTGGAGGCTAGGGCCTCGCGACCCAATAAGAGCGTCGGAGCGAGGCACGTGACCCGACATCGCGAGAGCATTTGTGTCAAGCGCTAAATGCGAGGCGCCAGGCCCGGAGGAACCGGCTGTCGTCTGCCAACCAAGAGTCGTCTGCTCCGAAACCAACCGACTTCGAATGAACGTACACCGCAGCAACATTTCCGTCCGCTAGAATAGCGAGCACTTCGGGAACAATTCATGAAACATCAAATGCAGATTATTCCTTGCCGGAGAGAGGGAATCTTTTCCATTCCTTTCTCTTGCGGAGGAGGACATCAGGCACACGGGCCGGTGCCTAAATGGCTGCTCGAGGGGGCGCTTCCGAGAGGTCGTCAGTTCCATCGAGGATTCGGTGCACCCGATAGCAGTACATCGCAGCACATGCGGAGGATGTGCACCTAGGTTAAAAAAGTCGGAGGTTCGGGAGGGTGGCAATCGAAATATTTGCAATAAACAACTCCGGCGTCAATGTCTCTTCCCCCCCCTCGCTAGCCCTCTCCGATAGAGGTGGGTTATCTGCGGCTGGGGTTGTTCGAGGTGACTAGACAACCTTTGTGAGTGGTTGTTCCCAATGGGTCAATGCACCGCTCTGCCTCTCCCACCCATCCTTTCTTCTTCTGACTTCCCCCCCCTGCCTTTTCCCCCTTTCTCTAAGAATTGCACAGGGGAATGGGCATTTGCAGTCCATGGAATAAACTTTGTTGCAAATCGGAAGAATGTGCCTGCCTGTGTTTTATCCTCTCTATGTTTTATTCTTTCTGTTATCTAGTTTTCTTTACCTACACGCTCATTAGGAATATAATATAACCTCCTTGGGAGTCCTCGACCATGGGGTGTTATCACGTGGCTTGCTCCGGCGCCCTTATTGAATCGCAGGGGCCACAGCCTCCACAATTCGCCAAGTTATCGAGAAACTGAGTATAGTACTTGCAGTTCTTCTTTGCAGAGTTTCAAAGAAATAAGACAGTTTCTTTTTATGCTCGAATGATAAATATTTAGACGGATGCTTGTGTCGCATAGTTTGTCCCACGTTTGCATCTCATACAGTAGGGTCGCGATAAATCAAACTTTGATATTTCATCCTCGTTAATTCAAACAAATTTCGAAATTTTGGTTGTCCCGCTATGTTTTTAATGCATTCATAAAGCGGTTATTTCGAACGGCGTTTTCGTATAATTCATACTTTCTGTTCTCGAGGCACCGTCGAGTGCGCTTTTTTCCAAGCACCGGTGCACTGCAAAGAGGCAACACCTGCGGAGCTTGCTTCCGCGGGTGTTGCCTCTTTGCTTCCAAAACAGAAAATTCTAAACGTAGGTGACATACGAGCGTGTCACTTCCCAAGCTTTCTAACTTCTCTTCCATACATTTCGGTGTAGCCTAAAGCGCCCCTCTTCCCCGTTTTGGCTCCATATTTGTCATCGTCAATGACAAAGTTGGAACAGCGGAGTGCATGACACGTTGAAGCATTTTCAAAGGTCGGAAGCTTGCTTTGGAGGTGGGTCGACCGGTGCCTCTCCCTGGCATAACATCTTAAGCTACAGGCCACCTTTAGGCATGACATAGTATTAATCGCTTTCATTGTGTTTCGGGTCGAGCTAAAATGTCACTGCTCTCCACTTGCAGAACCACCGGATTATGTTGAACGGGACGAAACGCCCGGCAGCCATCTTTCGTCCACGGAGTCGGGTCTGTCGTTGAATTTACGGCTGCTTTGAGGACGTTGAGCATTTCTAGACATTATTTTATTAGAAAGAACATCGCTTTCTTTTATCGTCGCAGAGTCTGAACGCTATGGGGAAGATTGGAAACCCGACAGCCAAGTGTCTGCTTTTACGAAAGGTAGGTTGTTGATAACCCTTCTTTTTGTACCTACCATAAAATGCCGCAAAAGCTACCTGCTTTGTTCAAGAGCGCCATTGTTAGCATTTCCCATACTTGGGAATGCTGCAATTTAGACAAGGTGCGATACAAAAAAAAAAAAAAAAAATTACAGGGCATTTAAGACCGGCTACGTGTAGGACATTCATGTATGTAACGTATTCCTGCAAGCTGCACTCTCGCTGTCCTCTGCAAAGGCCGGCCGGGCTTTGGGGAGCAGAAGCACGCGAGAGCTGTGCCAGGGGAGGGCTTCTTTGTGGAGTGGCCTTCCTTGTAACTGTCCAACTCGCGGGCCGCGTCGCAGCCATTTTAAGAGCCGTTCCACGGAGGAAATTTCTCTGCCATTTTTTCTGTGTTACGGACAACGCTGGGTTCCTCTCCATGGGACACTTAATGCTTTTGCGTTAAACGTTACGGAACTGATTTTCTAGCGTCAAAAAGAGATGCGTGTGCAGCAGTCGAAGGAAGTGACCTTCCTGTTTTGTTATAAAAAAGGGCATCGCTCTGAACGTTTTGAGCTGCGCTACACAAGTTTTTGTGACCACGTGCACGGTCACAATGGTGATTTCACCATAGACAGCAAAGCAGAGCGAGAGCGAACATCAGTTCTACGTCAAACTTAGCAAAAGTATAACGGAGACCTTTGAAATGATTCAGCAGGCTCGGGACAAAAAGCAGCAAATTTTGCTAAGTGGCACTCGCACTTCGGGAACGGCCGAACATCACTGTAAGACGAAGAGGGGTAGGACGGCTTTGTTTGACCTCTCTTCGGCGACGTTCTGCCATTCTTGTGGCACGAGTACCACTTAGAACACCTCGCACACCTCTTTGCTTTCTGACATAAGCCTTCTAAATCATTTCAGAGGTCTCTGTTTTAGATTTGTTGAGTTCGACATAAAACTGATGTTCGCTCTCGCTTTGGTTGGCAGTCTATGGAGAGATCATCGTCGTGCTCAAGCATCTGGTCAAACAAACTTTCGTAGCGCAGTTCTAAATGTTCACATAGCGACGCCCTTTGGCATAATGATGCAGGAAGGTCCCTTTACAACGTCGGCGCCGGAACTTTTTGATCTCACTCCATACGTCAAGCAGCCGATTTAACCGGACAAGCGCCGACATCTACATTAATCCAATTTTCACTGAAAGTGTGGTTGGCGCTCTTCCGGTGTTTTACGGTAAGATCATGTCATCTAAATGTTGTCTCATATCATTTTTTTTTCTTTCCTTCTACCCGCTGAACTGTTAGATTACACGGACATGACGGAGGTTACGTTCCACTTGAATGCAGGTCTGTACTCTATTAACCTGGAATTTTGACGTTCAGCCGCCAGCAATACATCAAACGTGACCTTTTTCTGCAGAGCCGCAGGTTTCCGAAGCGTCCCAACTACACGATGGCACAGAGGTGGCCGTTAAGATTGGTCTGTTTTCTTAATGGCATTTTACGGCTAGGTAGCATTCTAAAATTTGGAACCACTTGTGTGTGCAGAGCCGCAAGACGCGACGGAAGTTTGCACCGAGACAGTTGCCATGGGGACGGGTACGTAAACTTACGATTGTTCCTGCAGCTTAAAGCTTTGTGTAACTTACGAAATTCAGAATAAAATCTTTCAAAAAGTACTTACAAAAAAAATAAAAGGGCAGCAATGGAATGAATCTTAAAATTGGGAACCCCACATTTCAAGGCCTACTCGGTTCTTCGGGGGGGACTACGCCGATGGCCGTCGAGTAGCAGTAATTTTCTATCTTTCGACGACGTGACAAAGCCCGTCGACAGAGACTGTTGGCCAAGCGCCGAGGCATCCATTTATGTTTCCCGGCATCGTTTGATAGTACCGGGATTCTACGAAAATTCTATGCTAAGGGTTGGTCTCTGCGTCGACGACGCCGGTGTCGTCGAAGGAAATCCGGTGGTCTTCGGCGTTGCGGCGCTCGGCTACTTTGGTGCGCTCGTGGTCAAACTTGCGCACGTCATTTTTGGGTTGGCAGAGTCTTTCGTCCAAGTCCTTCGTCTCGCCGACGTAGGTGGCACGGCGATCCAGGCGAGAAATTGTGCAACCAACTTCTGCTCCGCTGTCCTTGCGTAATGCAGCAGAGGCTGGTTGCACTATTCCTCCCCAAGGTGCGGTGCCGTCGGTGCCGAAAAGCGCTCCGATTGCAAACCGAAACCTGAAAACCCGCCGAAGTTGTGCGGTTTTTTAGAAAGCCGTAAAATGCTGCACGTGCCTTCTATCGTTCTGCAATTTATTGATTTAGTGTTTTTCGATGATGCTCAGCAATTTTATATATTGAAACAATGCCCTTAAACACAATATTAAAAAGTTAATTACGCAAAAATAATTAACAGCTTAATTATTCCAAACTTTATTAATTTTCCTAAATGGGCCCCTGGCCCAAGACCAGGACCAAAATGACACAAGCCTGTTTTTGTGGCGACGCATAGTTTTCGCAATATTGAATTTGTCCACTTTTCGTGAAACACCCTGTATATCAGTAGCCATGCTCTATAAATTGCAAGCCTTTTTAGGGCACTTTCGGTGTGCCTTTTGCTGAACGAAAAGTGCCGTACGAAGCTTACTTAGCATGGGGAGCGACACGACCGTTTTTAGGCCTAACCACTTTCACGATTTCTGTCCGAAAGCGGACCACAGATGATGGCGTGTTTGTTGACATCAATGCTCCGATTGGCGAAGCATGTCGAGGGCTGAGCAATTACTTGACCCCAGCTGTGGTAGGTGTGCACGCCGCTCAGTTGCACGGTCCACCACTTCCACAGCTATGCACTCGCAGCCGTTACGAGAGCGGCTTGGCTTGGCTTGGCTTGACTTGCCTTCGCCCTGGCCGCTTGGCGGCAAAAGAAAATTGGCTTGTTGGACACAGTTCGAGACTCGCGGAGCCGAAAATTGGAGGTGCGCTCATTACGCGAGGAGAAAAAAAAAGTCGAAATGTTGATGCCCGGGGGGTGCACGTTCATCATGCGAGTGCGTTCATTATGCAAGTAAATATGGTAGTTAGTTGGGGTAGCTCAAAGAATGGCCTGAGTACCCATTTAATGGCACCATAATTTCCAGTGCGTAACTTTCTATTAACTGTAGCCTTTTGCCATCTTCTCTTCCAGGGATGGATGGTTCCAGCGACAATAGTGCGATGGCAGCTGTTACTATCAAGACGGGTGTGTTGCCACATGACCGGTTTACGTACAATGTATAGTTGCTCATTTCGAGTTAAAACTGGGCATAAAAAGTACTGGCAACATTCGAAGTTTCTACGATAAAACGGAATTGTCCGAAACGTTTGCAGTGGGATTGTCCTAGACGTTTGCAGTCGTACAGCTCTTTCTCTTAACCAGATCGTTGTTACAATCCAATAATATAACTTCAGGAGCCAGAATAATTTACAAAAAAATGGAAAACTGCGAGTCTCATTTTAACAAGTGTGCCACAGAAAGCCACATTTTAAAAAGTTGCGGCATGAAAAATATTTTTAAAATTTTGCCAAATCACGGTTAGCAACAATTATGCTAGTTCAATACCTAATTTCTAATCTGCTTCTGAAAACGCTAGGCCTTAATAACGTAGAGCTGTCTTCCTTTGTACAGATTTTGAAGCAAGATGAGGTAGCATATTTAATGCCTTAATTCTGTATAATTTATGTTGTCTATATGTCTCCACTTCATTTTTACAATAGCTAGTTGGTGTTATTATTCCACCATTTATCTTTTTATGCACAGCACAAAAACAAAAACCTGTAATTTAAGAGGGCTGACTGCTCCAAAGATTGTTGTAACCCCCAGATCTTGAGAAGGGACACTATCTTGCGACTTAACTTCTGAACTACTCAAGTAATTGGAAGAAAATTTGCAGGGGAGATTTAACATCAGAGGTACATGTATTGTGCAAACTTGCAGCGCTCTAGGACAATTTTACATACCTGCATAAGATGATGTGTCACTCTTCAATAAGAAATCTATGATATGCAAATGAGGCTATTAAGAACCATTTTGACTGCTTGAATATAAGGTCGGGACTGTGCGACTTCGGGCTATCTAGTTTTTATAACTGAAATATAAATACTTTAGGAAGAGTTACAATCTAAGGTCATTAAAACAGGCCTGGTTACAACAGACATTTGGATATAACATACTGATTTGTGAAGTTTGGTTGGTTTTCCTCTACATACCATTGACTCAACTTCATATCTGCATACAACATACTCTTTTTACAACAGTCTGAAATCTTTGTCAAGATCAAGGTCTCTTATAACGAGCTTAGACTGTATTACTGTACCTCAAAATATGGGATGCATACCTGTCCTGTGTCAATTTCTGAAAACATAGTTTTCTCCTTAAGGACTTAAGTAGGTAGCCCAGTTCCCCTGTAAATTTCAGTTCAGAAACATCATTATTGTGGTATCAGAATACTTTTACCTCTGAACAAGAGATTCCTTCGTATGAAATTTGCAGCACAAAGTGGAACTGAGAAAAATGCGTTCAAACATTGAACTCATCTACTTTGTTACTGCCTCATAATGTGTTGAAAATATTTTATATCAACGTAACTATTTGGTGGATGGTTATTGAATTTATTGTCAGGGTGTATAATTTGTTTCTAAAACAAAAAGACCTTGAATAAAAAAAAAATAAAAAAAAGTATTTAGAGCCGGGATGTTACGAGCAGTGTTGCCCTCTTCGTTGTCACATTTCACAGTATTTCTTATTGTTAGAAAACTTGTTAACTCAGGTGTCTTCTAGCTTTATTTAATTTCAACATAACCTAAAGTGTCCCTTGGTACCTTTTCTGAAATTCTTGTTAGTAAAGCACGTCCAGGGCATCTCTATCATAGCTGTTAAGCCTAGGCATGTAGCTCCGTCCTTTGCATCTTGGCATAAGGCAAACATCTCATGCTAAGCTTCCTTTTAGGATCGCATAATAGTATTGTTTTCACGGTATTTTAGCATAAGCTAATGTGTCGCTGTGCCGTCCCTGCATTTGCAGAGCCACCAGAATATGTTGAACAGGATGAAGCGCCTGGCAGTCATCTTGTATCTGTTAAATCAGGTCAGTCCTAAAATTAGTGCTCCTTTTTTGATTTTTAGACTGGGCCTTACAAGACATTATCTTTATTTAAAAGTACCTCACCTCGTTCTTCACCCACAGAGACAGAATGTTACGAGGAAGTTCGGAAACCCAGGAACCATGTGCCAGCTCTTACGGAAGGTATAGGTTCCCGATAACATTTATTTTTGTAATTGGGAACATGTAACCAGAACGTCATGTCTCTCGTCATATTTTTTCCCCACCAGGCGAACCATCAGATTATGCGGACGTGACAAAGGTTACATTCCACACAAATCCAGGTCTGTGCTTCATTAAACTGGCAATTTGGACATTCAATCTCTGGCAACAGGTTTAATTCAACCTCGTCCTTTGCAGAGCCGCAGGTTTCCGAAGGGTTTCAACAACATGGCAACGCAGCGGTGGCCGCTGAGATTGGTTTGTTGTCTCGTCATTTCACAGCTAGGTGCCATTCTGAATGTTGGAACTGTCTCTGTCTGCAGAGCCTCAGGATCCGACGGAAGTCAACAATCGGGCAGATCCCGCGGAGACGGGTATGTAGTTACGCTTAATTTTATTTTATTTTTCCCAGTTTTGGCTTTTTTTTATGACTTGAGATGCAGCCATCACACTTACTGTGGTAAAGGAATTGCTCGTGTACGCCACTTTATGCCGACTCGGATCGCAGCAAAGACCACAATTAAGCTCGCAATTGTTTTCGAGGCGTCTCCATTCCTACGGCCGCTGGCCGGATGAGTTTCGGTCGTCCTTACTCTGGTGCGACATTCCTACCTTCAGTGGTGCCTCGGAAGGCATCGGGTGCTTGCTGGAGACGTCCTGTCGCTCTCATCCCTTTCGATGACATTTGGCGACTTCTAGAAAACTGTCACAGCAGATTCGCTTGCCAGCTTTTTTTTTTTAGGTGAATCTGATCGTTCATGGTGTTTGGCGGTCTAAAATCGAGCCGCAAAAGTAGGTTAAAAAATTGCCAATAGCTTTCTGTGCGACGCGTCGCTGTTGTGAACGTCTGGTTTCTACCAAGGTCGCCTGATACTGGGAAAGTGGCGCCGTACGGTTGCTATTTTTGTTCGGGCAGTGCGCAGTTCCTCCTTGATTTACCCGATCTTGGCGAGCTGATCCGAATTCCCGGCGACGGGTCGCTTTATAAAGGCATTTGGCGTATTCGCGACTCCAGCAAAACGGACGCCACCAAGCGGGAAAACCCGGAACCAGCCGGACCAGGTCGCCCTGCGCCCCTCCGCGTCTCTGGTGGCTTTCGCGGATACGTGTTGTCGGCGCGGTGGCGAACAATGTAATTTGACGAAGGTCCGAAAATTTTTTAAGTTTGCCTGATTGTTCATTAGTCTGGTGAAGCCTCAGTAGATTGTTTCCTTCCATCACGTGTTTGAAAGCCCGTTTACTCCACAACACACGGTCGCATGCTTTCGATTTCTTGGATGGGGAGGAATCACGGAAAAACGTTTCGGTTTCTTGTCTGTCTCGAATCACATTCAAAGTTACGACTACTTGGTAATTGATAAGTGGTCTCTTTATAAGGATGCAGAACAGTGGACTGGGGACGACAGACGGGGTGTTTCACCGGAGGGAATACTAACGTTACAGTCAAGTAAAGGGAAGGTTCGATAGCTGCTTTTCTTGAGTTTGGCTTCGTTTGATTAGCTTCAAGTCTGAGCCACCCCCGCCGGTCGGTGCGTTGGCTATTCATCGTGGCTGCTTTTCGCCGAGAAAGCCTTTGGAACAAAACGAAGGAGTTGGACTGTTTTTGCAATTACATGATTCCGGAAAACCTGCTCGCTGCATACGATTAATGAGGGAAATTGTCTGCTTTAAAAAGGTGGGGGACGCAGTAGAGTGGGGGACGCGGTGGGGGACGCGTCTCGCAAAGTTAGAAGCTGTCACAACATTATGACCTATCGCGCCTCCAATATTTATATTATACCCCCTTCGGAACCAGTTGCAATATACGTCTACATTGTTCAGGTTGACCGGCCACAAAAAATACTAATTTTCTCCGTCCAGGACTCAAAGTCAAGTTCACTGCCAGAGAGGTTCTGCGTAAATCTCCGATGAAGGGAACATGCCAGAGAGGTTCTCTTCAGTTTGTCCGAATTCGTCTCCGTGCTACCGGCTACTACCATTTGGCTGAGTTTAAGTAGTATCTCTCTGTCTGTCAAATATACTTTTATTCAGCAGTTCACTTCATAGCTAGTAAACTAAGCCCATATTTTAACCCGAAGAATATACTAATATTGCTTTAGTGGGGCCCATAGTAAGTAATAAAATACATAACCCGTATATTCATCAAAATAACTTCTCGATTGCTACTAAGACATGAATTGAAACACGAGTATCAGCTGCTTAGTGGGGCACCAGTGGGTTAACACACTCTTTGACTCAAGAAGCGCTTGCTTAATTTTCGTGATTTTCCTGCAGCCTGTGCTGTTGACCGAGCAGACGACTGGAGCTGTTTCTTAAACGCGGATATGCACAAAAGCTCGATTTTGCGGACAGATAAGTCGCATGGTCGAGGCATGTGAGTTAGCTGAAGATTACTCTCGGCGGAACAATTTTGTGGGCATCGCCGCTTTCCTTAGCTGATTAAAACTGATTAGAGTCTATTGCCGTCTCTCCGGAGCCCATAGTTTCGGTTTTGAACAAAATCTCTGATACGAGAGTTTGATATGAAAAGAACAAAAAACACGAGGAAAACAAAACTATGCTCTGCAAGTTTATGTGCACCGGCTACACTTAACTGTCGCATTTCAGATACCTATAAAATGGGGCATTAAAGAAAAGAAAACCTGTTAAATTCAATGTGCCACCCGTCCAGGCGGCCCGGCCGAGCCGACGCGACCTGGACTCAGCCGCCATATTTTTTTGGGGATGGCGCCCCCTATAGGTCGCTGGAGTCGCGAAATTATGTTATACACGCACCGGCGAAACAAGGGCAAGTCCGCCACTAAGTGCGGCTTCGGTGCTTGGCGGTATTGACAAACAATTTTGTGTCTTAAAGGGGCAGTCAAGTGGTTTTTGAGTTCGTGTTTTGATAATGACAGCTGAATTTAAACGCCTTAAGTATCCCTAAAAACCAAAAAGTATAGTCATATGGTGATTATTTCTTTAATAAAAATGTAATTGAAGGCCGCCAAACCTCGGATCCATCCGAAAACGAAACCACTCTCATTGGTCGTCGCACGCTTATCAAAAGGATCTCGGGCCAATGGCGTTGGACGACGTTCCGTCGCGCAGTGATCCCGAGGTAGCCGCATCGGCCGAACCTCTTTGTCATTCGAGCTTCGATCATGGCGGAGTTCTCTACGCTCGAGGACCTGACGCCGTTAGAGGTTGAAGTTCTTCGGCGGACAGCCGACCTGGGGATGATTTCCTATGACGCCACTCCGACGTGCGATGTGGACGATAGCAGCGCTTCGGAGTCATGTTCGGGTTCCGAGGACGACGAAACGCAGACCTTTTCGGGCGTTCTTCGATTTGCGGTTGGGGCAAGTCGTAACCAAACCAACGTTTGACATCGCAGCGTTACCTCTGGTACGTGATGTCAAACGATGTCGCCACGTTGACTTTCGCCTCGGGAGAACGGGGGGAAGGCTGGTTCAGACATGTGCAACGAGCGCGTACCTACGACTGCGTCCGTTGCAACCGGAGCGACCAGAACGACCTCACTGCGCCGCGCGTACACACACCTGTAACCACTACAACAAGCGCAGCGGGTCGTCAGCACGGCGACCGCTTCTGTACGCCGCCGTCAGCTGTGTCAGCGGCCCCTCTAAAAAAGGGGACGCACTGCTACTCAATGCCGTAACAGAATATAGAGAGACAGTTTTCTAGTCTAAAGCTTTATTATTTTTTCTTGATAGGCTTGCAGGGTACAGCGAATGAAAAAAATAAAATAAAAAGATGCAGCGCCGTCTTGGACGATCACGACTCTAATACACGACATTGCAATAGTACAAATATCGCCACACGCCTTTTCTACGATTATAAAAGACAATGTAATCTTAGCAGCGATATTTGCGACTCCAGCGACCTATAGGGGGCGCCACCACCAAACAAACATGGCGGCTGAGTCCAGGTCACCGTGGTCCAGGTCGCGTCGGCTCGGGAGAACAGGCGGTTGCTAGGCCTGAATGGGTGGCGCATTCAATTTAACAAATTTTATTTTGTTGAATGCCCAATTTTATGGGTATTTGAACTGAGACAGTTAAGTGTAGCCGGTGCACATAAACTTGCCGAGCATAGTTTTGTTTTGCCGATGTTTTTTTTTTTCTTTTCATGTCAAACTTTCGTTTCGGAGACTTCGATCAAAACCGAAACTATGGGCTCCGGAGAAACGGTAATAGACTCTAATTAGTTTTGATCATCTAAGGAAAACGGCGAGGGCTACAAAATTGTTCCACCGAGAGTAATTTTTAGCTAACTCGCATGCCTCGACCATGCGACTTATCTGTCCGTGAAATGGAGCTTTTGTGCCTGTCCGCGTTTCAAGAAAAAGCTCCAGTCGTGTGCTCGGTCAAGAACACAGGCTGCAGGAAAACTACGAAAATTAAGCAAGCGCTTCTTGAGCCAAGGAGCATGTCAACTCGCTGGCGCTTCACTAAGCAGCTGATACTCGTATTTCAATTCAGGTTTTAGTAGCAATCGAGAAGTCATTTTGACGAATATGCGGATTATGTATCATATTACGTACTATGTCCCTAAAGCGATATTAGTATATTCTTCGGGTTGAAATATGAACTTAGTTAACTAACTATTAGGTGAACTGCTGAATAAAAGTATATTTGACAGAGAGATACTACTTAAACTTAGCCAAATGGTTCTAGCCGGTAGAACGGAGACGAATGCGGACAAACTAAGGAGAGTCTTCATCGGAGATTCACACAGACCTCTCTGCATTGAACTTGACTTCGAATCCTGAACAGATAAAATGAGTATTTTTTTGTGGCCGGTCAACCTGAGCGATGTAGACGTATATTGCTGCTGGCTTCGACAGGGGTTATAATATAAATATTGGAGGCGCGATAGATCCTAATGACGTGACAGCTTCCAACTTTGCGAGACGCGTCCCCCACCTTTTGAAAGCAGATAATTTCCCTGATTAATCATATGCAGCGAGCAGGTTTTCTGAATCAAGTAATTGCGAAATTAGCCCAACTCTTTCAATGTGGTCTTTTTCGGCAAAAAGCCGCCAAGATGAATAGCCAACGCACCGGCCGGCGTTAGTGGCTCAAATTAACTTGAAGCTAATCGAGCACAACCAAACTCAAGGAAAGCAGCTATCGAACCTTCCCATTCACTTGACTGCAACATTGGTGTTCCCTCCAGTGAAACACTTCGTCTGTCGACCTCAGTCCACTGTTCTACATCCTTATAAAAGAAACCATTTATCAGTTACCAAGCAGTCGTCACTTTGAATGTGATTAGAGAGACGAGAAATCAAAACGTTTTTCCGTGATTCCTCCTCATCCAAAAAATTGAAAGCACGCGACCGTGTGTTGTGGAGTAAACGGGCTTTCAAACACGTGATGGAAAGAAACAATCTACTGGGGCTTCACCACACTAATGAACACTCAGGCAAACTTAAGAAATTTTCGGACCTTCGTCAAATTACATTGCTCGCCCCCGCGCCGACACCACACGTCCGCGAAAGCCATCAGAGACGCGGCGGGGCGCGGAGCGACCTGGACCGACTGGTTCCCGGTTTTCCCGCTTGGCGGCGTCCGTTTTGCTGGAGTCGCGAATAGCAACGTAGAAATATGATTTCGTGATCAGATAGACGTTGCGAGCGTTCAGGATTGCTAACACTAATCACTTTTCTCCGGTGATGAAAACGCGTGAATATTCGCATCCTTTATACGGTACGCGCCAGTAATTCCTTGAACTTGAGCACACGCATGAAATGCGCCAAATCAGAAATCCGGGCGATGTTTGAGGACACAAATGCTTAGAAAGCACCACTGTAGTCGAAGTAAACAAACACGACGGCACGGGCGTTTCTGCTATCTTGAGAGTGCCGCCACGACATCGCCGCATGAGTAGGTGGATGTTCCCTTCTAGTACGTGCTGGGTTATCATAGCGAAACACGACGAAAATTCACAGTCAAGGATAGCGCTTTTACGCGGAACGATGAGCTTTCACCAGGCCGTCCATTTCGACGATCACCACCGACGCCACGTTTGCGGATAGAAGGAGCCGGCCGGCCCGCGACCGGCACGACCGGCCTGCAACGCGCGGAGATACGTGCGCTTCCGCGCATCCCTGGGGAACGGGAAATTCACCCCCCGCGGAGGAAGGCAAATAGAAAACGTAGTCCCTTGTTTGTGAAACGATAATTGCGCTATCGCGTATTCTAAACTAGAAATATTTTACGTCTTGTGAAATTATCATGCACAACATATTTAAATGAACTGAAAATTGTTTTTTTAGCGAAACTTTAAAAAGACCGCCAAAATTTTCAAACATACGATAATTTCATTGGTCCTCGCAAGTACAGAAAAGAGTCCGCACGTATTTTATTCCTGCGTGATTAATAGGCGTTTCTGCCTTCTAAAACTGAAGATACTCATTCACTGACACTTCCTTAACACCATCGCACCAAAAAGTAGCTTCTCCAAAAAGCGCTTGAGTGTCCCTTTAAAATATGGAAGAACAGCGTCTTTGTAAGAAATCGGGGGAGATAACCACGATTGATTGGTTGACTGCATGCACAGTGTCAGAGTCGCTTTTAACTGAGACTGCATATCTATCTTGGCGCGACTGGTTCGGAATGACCTTTTCGAAGCTTCGAAAATTCAAAAGGACCGAAATGGCGATTGCCATGTCAGCGGAAACCTATCAGCCAATCACCTCGTATGGTTTTTGGTCGTTTCTATGTTGGTATTCCTTTGAGTCCGGCTAGCAGGTGGGGAAGGCAATGGTGCTACTTTCCCAGCATCCAGTGACTTTAGCTTCTACCCGCCATGTGGGTACGGGGAAAACGGTTCTCACATTGGAACATTGCGTTTCCTGAAAACTCTTCATATACTATGTTCTTGAGCTCTTTTTGGTCGTAAAAAAAGTTGTATAAATTAGCTAATGGATGAAGCTAATGAAAACAAGCAAACTGTCCAGCTGATGCTACTACACACGCATGGCATTGCATGTCATAAAAAAATGAAAGACGTTTACAATTCCTTGTAACGCCGAATTAGAGCGCAGCTCTTGAGGAGGAGGAGGGGAGGGTATGAATGAATGCAACGTGACGTCATGTTCATTCACGTAACGTCGCACGTGATGTCACATGGGACGTCGCGTGACGTGCTGTCACGAGGACAAAATTTTTCCGCTAGAGTTAGCAGGAAACTTTCTCTTCTAAATTTAGCAGAATTTAGCGGGAAAATGTTACTCTCATGACGTCACGTGTGAAGTCCCTATAAGAAATGTCCCAGAATGCAATATGCGGTTACGCCGACGGCGACGCCACTAAATCCGGAAAGGGCACCGAAGAGCTGTGCTCTAAAACTTGAAAGCTTCTTCTTAGAGATGAACATTTCATTTCATTTAATGTTCCCTCAAAGCGCCCGGAGGCATTACATGAGGGGGGGAGAGGCAAAAGAAAAAGTTCGCTGAAAAAACAAGAAAACACTAACATCGAAAACAGCACGCGACAGATCGCGCACACATACACAGCATACTATATACACAACAGCTACACACCAGAGAGCGTATAAAATTAAACTGACTTAAATAATTCTTCACATACACTCCTAAACTGTGCACAGTCTGAGATATCAACCACACTTTCAGGGAGGTCATTCCATTCATGAATAGCCAAGATCAAGGGCGACTCTGAAAAATGCTTAGTGTGACATAAGGGTAGCCTAATTTTATGACGCCTAATTTTTCCTAATTTTTTATAATAAACAGATCAGGGCGTGTGTGGTACCATGTGTGAGTGGCAGCATCAATAGGAGGCTTTGCCTGTTATTTTCCTCTCGGGCATAGAAAATTAGGTGTTTTTTTTCTTGGTTTTTTTTTCTCCCAAAAATCTATGCTTGCCAAGTTTGCGTATGAAAAATGCACCACTTCAAGACACTTTTGTGAAAAGATTAATTGCATTTCGTTCATTGGCTTTTTTGCACCGTCAAACGCCTTTATAACTAAGTCCTCGCGACTGGCAAAAATTTTCGTCGTGAAGCTAACTTGGTTGTAGTTGAGCACGAAAAATTAAATCGCGTGAAACCGAATTTGGGTCATCGCATACTGACATATCTGCGCTACATTTGAGGTGTTTTAGGAAACAGTATGGTGCCAAATGGTAGTGATAGCGATATCAGAAACGAGGATTTGTACGTCGACAAATGACTTATCAATAGAGGGAACGGTGGCAGAATCTGCTAGCGCGTTTCAGCTCCGAACACATGGAGCGAAAGCTTGTGCCGCAGAATCCAGGCACCTTGAGCTCGACCAGCATCTATTTTTCTGTCTCTAAATGAAATTTGTATTGGCATGTGTTTGTGTGCTCACCGCTGCGTGACTCAATTTAAAGGGCAACTCCGCTCAATTCCGAAAAATCTAGGCTTACATGTGATTCAAATTTACAAAGCACTACTAAACAACTCTACGTCTTCGGATTCGCGAAATGTGGAATATTATTTGTGCAATCCTAATTTAAACATCAGCTGATACCGAAACCGAAACTTCGGTTGCGTCAGGCAACATTGGTCTCGGGTCGTCAGAGTCATGGCTACGTCATGTTAAACCACGTGGTCTTGTGACGTTCGGGAGGGAGCGAGAAACAGGACACATGACGCGCGGGCAGGTCGCTTCGCATGTCGTGGACGTTGATGGCCCGGGGGAGAGGGGAAAGGGGAGAAGACGAAAGAGGAGAGGGGGAGCAAAGAAACAGGCCGATAAGCGCGCAGGGCAGTGCAAACTAGCGCATCCGCGTTACGGTGATCACGTGGACGCCCGGTCAGCCAACACCGGGAGGAGAAACTCATGACGTCATCGTTCAATTTCGCTCTGAGAAGGAAAAACAAACAAAACGTGAGAATGACGTAGGTAGTCATGCCTCTGACGTAGTGGCTCAATGTCGGCTACTCCAACTCCGTGGCATTGACTGCGCTGATGATTGCGCCTCGCGCCGCACGCTAGAGTTGGCAGATTTTGGCGACTTGGCTCGCTTGAAGGTTTGCTGGCCTGTTTATTAAATATAGAGACGGAATTAGATTGTAATAGTTGACATGGGGTCTTCCTATATGATACTGAAGAGGGCTACATAGTTTTCTAAATATCGAAAATGAAGCGGAGTTGCCCTTTAAAGACGCCAGGTGAGCGGTCGTATCACCAGTACCGAGAATGGAAAAGTTTGTCATCTACAGCCGAAATACCAGGTGCTGCTTGCTGCAGACGAATTTCCCGCTGTCCAAAGTTCCACACAACAAACTTACCGTATTTACTCTCATAATGAACGCACCAGTGTAATGATCCCCAAGTCGGTTATGAAAATTTAGATTCACGTATTGAACGCATCCCCAACTCAGTCGTCAAAATCCCCCCCCCCCCCCCCCATGCAAAATGAACGCACTTCTCTATCCTGGTGCAGCAAGGTCGCGAATACATGAGCAGCATGGGCGAACAAGCGCCTTGCGGGAGGCAGTAAAAAAGATGGATCCCACGAAAACAAAAAAAGAAAAATGCTTAGAAAACGATGAAGAGGAGCTTTTTTTTTTTTTGCGCAGTGCAGTTTTGTTGCGGTGTTGCACGAAGAGATAAGAAGGAGAAGCCCTCGTGCAATTAACTAACATCTTGTTTACAAATGAAAACACATTTTGACTTGATTTGAAAAGAAGGGAAGAGAAGAGAAAAATTAAACCAATTGCAGAGTGCGTGACGGCTGCGGGAAGAAACTAAAAAAAGTTACCGCGGGAGTTTCCCATTTCCACCACTTTGCGACTGCACTGGCGACATCATCATTTTCGTGTTGATTGATGATGCAGGGATGGTCCGTTGTGCCAGCTACACGTGCGAACTCAAGCTGAAGGTTGTTGAGCATGCCATTGAACATGGCAACTGCGCGGCCGCAAGACATTTTGGCGTCGACGAGGTGCGCGTCCGGTATTGGAAACAGCAACGTGAAAAGTTGCAAGCCGCAAAGAAGACGCGTCGGTCTTTCCGAGGACCGAAGCAGGGAAAGTTTCCTCGCGTTGAGGAGGAAGTGCTCGAATACGTGACGAACTTTCGGAAGAAGGGTTGTGCTGTGTCACATGAGCTGATTCAGAATCACGCACGGACCATTGCAAGAAGACATGGCATCTCAGCGCAGGATTTCAAGGCCAGTATTGGTTGGGCAACACGCTTTATGCGACGGAACGGACTCTGTCTCTGAATACGTAGGACACTGTGCCGACGGCTCCCTTCAAGCTACGAGGACAAGATCACTGATTTTCACCGTTACCTTATAAGGATGCGCCAAGAAAAAAAACTTCATCGTGTCCCAGATTGGAAATGCCGATCAGACCAGAAGGGTGCACGGAGAGTTCACATCAGGACAACACAAACTGAAAAGCAAAGGTGCACTGTGATGCTGGCAGTGACGGTGGATGGCTGTAAGCTGCCACCATACATGGTCTTCAAAAGGAAAACACTTGCCAAGGGCAAGTTTCCAGATGTCATTCACATTCGTGTACAAGAGAAGGGGTGGATTTCAGCGGACCTGAGGGTGGACTGGATTACGACAGTGTGGGGTTTCCAGCCAAATGCCTTTCTTCCATCGCTTCTCGTGCTGGAGAGTATTCTTGGGCATCTCCTGGACAGTGTTCACCTCAAGTTGAAGGAGCTATGCGCCGACATTGCCGTCGTTCCGGGTGGCCTGACTTAGTGCTGCAGACTTTCTATGTTTCGCTCAACAAGCCATTTAAGGACAATGTGAGGAGGCTCTACGCTGGGTGGATGGAAGCCAGCAACTTTGCGCTTACACCCAAGGGCAAAATCAAAAGACCATCAATCGAAATGCCTTGCGAGTGGGTCTTGGAGGCATGGAACATGATTCCTGGGGACATCATCGTCGAGAGTTTTAAGGAGACCGGGATTTCCAAAAGGCTTGACGGTTCCGAGGACCACCTCCTTTGGGACCACGAACACAAAGATGCGGCTAGTGACATCACTGAGCCTTTCGACTAGGAGTGAAGTGAAAGTAAAAAACAATAAATTGACAGCGTCAATTGTGGCCGAGAGCGTACCTGTCTTTTTATCATAAAGGTGAGTCTTAAGATGCAGTGTTTTGGTTGTTAATGTATTTCCCATTTCAGCGTTAAGATAATTGTTTGAGGTTTAACCTCGCATAATGAACACACACCCCAAATTTGCATTGATTTTTCGGGGAAGAAAGGTGCGTTCATTATGCGAGTAAATAGAGTAACTGACTTTTCAAAATATGAATCGTAGCAATCGCTAAACCACCGACATCGACCCCTCGATCACGCAGCAAAGGCATTCGCCAACAGTGTAAGTGTGGCCTCTGCTAAATTAAGTGGCGGCAAGCGCCGCTACGTGTCATTTGGAAGAGGCTCTCGAAGCGGCTGCGCTGATCTCAGTTGCATATATAGTCACTAATAACTTAGAATTCCGAGTTGTCCATCCAACTCGGTTCTTGCAAAACCACCGATGTTCCTGACCTGGAGTAGCCAGTATGAAGAAATGAGGTAATTTGATTATCATGCAGAGCTGGTGGAAAACAAAACCTGCTATTCATTTCATCTGCACTTCTGTCGCTCGTCCTTTTAATATTTGTTGGTTTGTAGCTCTAAACTCCACCACCGACGTACGGCCTCGGTTTTCTTCAGGAAAGATAATCCTGTCGCTTCATAAACTGCGAGGGGGGATAAAACGACCAAGGCAGTCAAAGGTGAAGAGGGCATGGAAGGGGATGAACTGAGCAAAAATTGAGAACGCGAAGTGGTGTACTATGCTCCGCCGATTTGTTGAGCTACCTAATCCAAAGGATTCATCTGAATGCGAATGGCTTCCGGATTCCGAAATGCTATCTCGTTCCTCTAGATTCACTATTGTTAATTAAAAAAAGTGACATTTTGTTTGCTGCCAAAACCAATACATCTTTCTCCAGTTTTTTCCCCAGTTTTCCCCTCCATCCAAACGTGACGTCACCAGAGGGCAGCGAGGTGCGCGGCCGGCTAAGGCCGGCAGTCGTCATCATCATCATCATCGTAAATAATAATTTAAAAAAAAAATTATTTTCCATCAAGTACAAGTACATGATGCAAGGGGACTGAGCAAAAAAAGCTACATTTGTGCAGCTTGCAGAGTCTTGAGCCCCCTCCCCAATTGGCAACAGCAGCAGGTCACAAAAGAAATGCGTCGTGCATTTCTTTTTGGCTTTTTCAACACAGCTCTAGGTGCCCGTTTCCGGCTTGAGGGGCGTCGCCGTCGGCGTAACCGCGCGGTGCATGATGGGTAAATTTCCTCGCTAAATCTAGCGGAACATCTTCCCCGCTAAATTTAGCGGAAAAATTTCCCCTAAATGGGGGGTAATAGGTGAAAAAAGTACCGAGCTTCAAGCAGCTTTTTTTGTCGATTACATTTCGGTATAGACTAACAAAGAACTGAGACGACCAAGACGCGCAGCACTAGCTAGAGATTTTTTATTGTTGCAACTCGCACCAGCTACGAAAATCTGGACGACCCGCGCATTTAGAATGTTCCAGGCAAAAATATGGATAGAAATCAGGCTGGAAAGCATCACAAGTTGTCACAGGCACTTATTTAGCCAGTCTGCCTGTGAACGTCGATTTCGGCACTATTCTTGCCGTGGACTAGCGCCGTAATCACAAACTCACTAAACGCTTGTGCTTGATTGACAGACACTGCATTCGGTGCAGAACGTAGTTTTCTTCCTGCTCTGTGGACAGTGACAATAAATTTGAGGGATGTATTTTCGCCCACAAAATTGTATTTAATTACAATTGTATTTGAAATACCCACGTTTTAGTATTTAAATACACACGTCAAATACTTTACCCAATTTGCAATTAAATGCAAAATACACAGTATTTGAAATACGTATTTAAAATACTTGTAGTTGAAATACTGCCCATCCCTGGTCTTGATGTTATGGCATATTCTTTCGCATATGAAGGCCAGTACGTGTTGGGGGTAGCCAGCATTCTGAAGTCTGAATACTTGTGTATCGAAGCTTCGTGGGATTTGATGTTCACGTGACTTTTTTAGGCTGGATGACAGGGCTGTGGTGGCTACTGTCTGCTTTACAATTTTGGAGTGCTCAGAATTAGTGATGGGACGAATCTTTATCCGAATCGAGATTCGGAGCCGAATCTGAAGATTCGGAAAGATTCGGAAAAGTAGCCGAATCTCAAGCGATTCGGAAAAGTTCGGAAAGATTCGGAGCGTTGTCATGGTTGCCAAATCACGTCGATGCGTGTTTCAACTTTTCGTGACATTAAATTCACTAAATTCTACAAAGTTCACGAAATAATATTGTAATATAATATCAGAGTAATAAATAAAATGTTCCGCTTTGTTAATATTATTTTGGATGTTTATCGAGAACGGTAGCCTAGCCAGACATCGCGGAAAAATTGGTTTCGGTTCCGGATCACGACCCAAATAGGCATGTTGGTGCACGCACGTGGAAATACAAGCGCATGTTTCCATCGCCGCAAGAGATCGATGCCGTACATGCTGTTCGGTACAGACACATGTTTGCCCATAATTACTGTCGCAGTGGCACGCACCACATAAGTGAGTATGTTCGATTCGATTATCTCTAACGAGTGCCCACTGAGGTATTTCTATTGGAACACGGGAAACAATCTGAAACTCCTGGTTAATGCAGGCTTTCCGATTTAGTGTTAGTTTACGAACAATGAAGTTGCGTTGGACACACCCTTGTTGTGTTTCTTTTTCATCAAATAAAGTTCATGTATACAAAACTTGCTGCCGAGAATGGAGAACCGACAGTTCCCCCCCGGTGCCAGTACGCGGCCTAAGTTGTGACGAGCAACATCTCGCGCCATACAGGTATAGACATACGCAGCTCTAGAGAAGGAGACGAATCATTTCCTTGCCTGAATATGTATTTATTGTGCGTTGCGCCAGATTACATATAATACACAGCGTTTCGCTACATTTTACCGATCACCGCGAAATCGCACAGAAAGCGAGAAAGTGCATTGGTTAGGCCTACGCCAACCACACCGATCAGCTCAGCTGGACCTGGGCGCGTGCCAGGGTTTACAATGACAGCACAGTACATACCATACGCTGACATAAACAACACGAAATCTGGTTGTATGCAGGAACAGTACCTAATAAGAGCACAACTGATCGCATTCGCGAGGTTTACGACAAGCTTCATGCTGCCGCCTGCATCCAGCGACGAACCTGACGAATCTCCGAATCTGCCGAATATTCGTCGCGAAAAGTTCGGAAATTTCCGAATCTGTCCGAATCCGAATCTCCGGTGATTCGTCCCATCACTACTCAGAATTGAAGGGGAGGAACCCTTAACCCGATCGGGCTTGGTACCTCCGGCATACATGGCTTTCTCTGAATTCGAATGCCGAATCAAGATATTTGATGGTTTTCCTAATGGGAATCTTGTATGTGAAGTTGAGCTACATGGAACATTGTTGGAAACTCCTCATGATGGTATTGAGACACCCATCATTTTGTTTGTCAACTTCAAACCGTAGTACACAACATTTAAAAAAATCGTCCGCATACCGGGATGTTCTTGAATGGCAAGTCCACACGCACTGAGAAACAGTTCACTGCGATAAGGAGCTACTTTGGAACCTATGCAAACTCCGCTCCTCTGCACATACTGGCGGCCTTAGTGGGACACCTCTTTCGCTGACAAGTAGAAGCGTGAAAGTTCCAAGAAGGTATCCAAGTACATGCCCGCCGCATTCTGGAACGATCCGAGGCCTTGGTCCGCAATGGTGGATCGGAGGACTTCTAGGAGACGTGTGTGTGGGATAGAACAATACATATCTTGGACATTCATAGAGAAACCATGTATAGGATACCACTTTTTTCGAGTTATAGGTATCCGGAAGGGGTCTGGTATCTGTATTTGGGAAATCTGATTGGATAAAAATTTGGAACCACATGCTTGCCAGGTGGCTCTCTCCGACAGAATTGCCCGAAACGGAACTTCGTCCTTGTGTGTTTTTGCTGAGAAGCACACGGATAGTTGGTGGTTCTTGGCGGCTTAGATTTTGATGCACGAACTGTCCTGGTGGTTGCTCTCTAACAATGTGAGAATGGCTTTTTTTTTTTTTTGCTTGTTTTGTTTTTTTGTTTTGAACTGGGATGAAATTCTCGATTATGGCTTTTGGGTCTTTTTCTTCATATGCTCCGGATTCGAGAACTACAAACCCTTCTGCCTTGTGTGATATGCGCAGCCTAAGGTCCTTACTTTTCAATTCTTGTACGGTAGGTCCAGCGGTTGAATGCGCATTTTCTTTTCTTTTCATTTTTATGGATGGTTGATAATTGTATTTTCAGTTGGGTTTGCCCAAATATGTATCGCCAACTTGCTCAACTTTTCCTGTCGTAATAGACCCCAAACGGAACCTTGGGGTATACCCAAACCGACGGATACCTCAGTACAGTCAGATTCGTTAACAGTTACGTATTGCGTGCGATTAAAAAAGAAAATTTTGAATCCACTGAAGAATCGGAGAGTCAATGTTTAGGTGCTGTAGTTTTAGTATAAGAAGTTGATGTTTCACCTTATCGAAAGCTTTTGCGAAGTCCAGAAATATGCGGTCGTTTACATGGCCTGAATTAAAAAATGTTTGCAAGTCGTTAGTAAATAAAAGCCCTTTCG